TTGCTGGAGGGCGACTGCCTCCAACTGCCCAGTAGCAGCGGCGTCCTTCACGAGCCTCCGCACACACCACGAGCGAAGGCCCTGTTCCATCTCCTCTCTTCGACATAATTTCCCTCTTCTCGACACAAAGTCGAATCATACTACCGAGTATCCACGATGCTAAATTCGTGATGATCATACCATGGTCCGCTTCCTTCCATTGTTTTCCGAACAACACACTTGCAATTGTCCCGTTGTTGTCGTCCATCCTACACGTGTGTCCAAATATGTGTTCAGGATATAACTTGTGTGGTGACTCTATGGGTCTCTGTGTGGTGAGTCTATGCCTCTCTGTGTGGTGAGTCTATGCCTCTCTGTGTGGTGAGTCTATGCCTCTCTGTGTGATGAGTCTATGGGTCTCTGTGTGGTGAGTCTATGCCTCTCTGTGTGGTGAGTCTATGCCTCTCTGTGTGGTGAGTCTATGCCTCTCTGTGTGATGAGTCTATGGGTCTCTGTGTGGTGAGTTTATGGGTCTCTGTGTGGTGAGTCTATGGGTCTCTGTGTGATGATTCTATGGGTCTCTGTGTGGTGAGTCTATGGATCTCTGTGTGGTGACTCTATGGATCTCTGTGTGGTGAGTCTATGCCTCTCTGTGTGATGAGTCTATGGGTCTCTGTGTGGTGAGTTTATGGGTCTCTGTGTGGTGAGTCTATGGGTCTCTGTGTGGTGAGTCGACGGGTCTCTGTGGTGAGTCTCTGTGTGGTGAGTCTGTGGGTCTCTGTGTGGTGAGTCTCTGTGTGGTGAGTCTGTGGGTCTCTGTGTGGTGAGTCTATGGGTCTCTGTGTGGTGAGTCTGTGGGTCTCTGTGTGGTGAGTCTGTGGGTCTCTGTGTGGTGAGTCTATGGGTCTCTGTGTGGTGAGTCTGGGTCTCTGTGTGGTGAGTCGGGTCTCTGTGGTGAGTCTGTGGGTCTCTGTGTGGTGAGTCTATGGGTCTCTGTGTGGTGAGTCTGTGGGTCTCTGTGTGGTGAGTCTATGGGTCCTGTGTGGTGAGTCTGTGGGTCTCTGTGTGGTGAGTGTGGGTCTCTGTGTGGTGAGTCTGTGGTCTCTGTGTGAGTATCTATGGGTCTCTGTGTGGTGAGTCTGTGGGTCTCTGTGTGGTGAGTCTATGGGTCTCTGTGTGGTGAGTCTATGGGTCTCTGTGTGGTGAGTCTGTGGGTCTCTGTGTGGTGAGTCTGTGGGTCTCTGTGTGGTGAGTTTATGGGGGGGGGTCTCTTGTGTTGTGAGTCCCGGTCTCTGTGTGGTGAGTCTATGGGTCTCTGTGTGGTGAGATCTGTGGGTCTCTGTGTGGTGAGGTCTATGGGTCTCTGTGCGGTGAGTCTATGGGTCTCTGTGTGGGGAGTCTGTGTGTCTCTCTGTGCTGAGTCTATGGGTCGCTGTGTGGTGAGTCTATGGGTGTTTGTGTGGTGAGTCTATGGGTCTCTGTGTGGTGAGTCTATGGGTCTTCTGTGTGGTGAGTCTATGGGTGTTTGTGTGGTGAGTTATGGGTCTCTGTGTGGTGAGTCTATGGGTCTCTGTGTGGTGAGTCTATGACTCTCTGTGTGATGAGTCTATGGGTCTCTGTGTGGTGAGTTTATGGGTCTCTGTGTGGTGAGTCTATGGGTCTCTGTGTGGTGAGTCGACGGTCTCTGTGTGGTGCGTCTATGGGTCTCTGTGTGGTGAGTCTGTGGGTCTCTGTGTGGTGAGTCTGTGGGTCTCTGTGTGGTGAGTTTATGGGTCTCTGTGTGGTGAGTCTATGGGTCTCTGTGTGGTGAGTCGACGGGTCTCTGTGTGGTGAGTCTGTGGGTCTCTGTGTGGTGAGTCTATGGGTCTCTGTGTGGTGAGTCGACGGGTCTCTGTGTGGTGAGTCTATGGGTCTCTGTGTGGTGAGTCTGTGGGTCTCTGTGTGGTGAGTTTATGGGTCTCTGTGTGGTGAGTCTATGGGTCTCTGTGTGGTGAGTCGACGGGTCTCTGTGTGGTGAGTCTATGGGTCTCTGTGTGGTGAGTCTGTGGGTCTCTGTGTGGTGAGTCTATGGGTCTCTGTGCGGTGAGTCTATGGGTCTCTGTGTGGTGAGTCTGTGTGTCTCTTTGTGCTGAGTCTATGGGTCTCTGTGTGGTGAGTCTATGGATCTCTGTGTGGTGAGTCTATGGGTCTCTGTGTGGTGAGTCTATGGGTCTCTGTGTGGTGAGTCTATGGGTGTTTGTGTGGTGAGTTTATGGGTCTCTGTGTGGTGAGTCTATGGGTCTCTGTGTGGTGAGTCTATGACTCTCTGTGTGATGAGTCTATGGGTCTCTGTGTGGTGAGTTTATGGGTCTCTGTGTGGTGAGTCTATGGGTCTCTGTGTGGTGAGTCTGTGGGTCTCTGTGTGGTGAGTCTATGGGTCTCTGTGCGGTGAGTCTATGGGTCTCTGTGTGGTGAGTCTGTGTGTCTCTCTGTGCTGAGTCTATGGGTCTCTGTGTGGTGAGTCTATGGATCTCTGTGTGGTGAGTCTATGGGTCTCTGTGTGGTGAGTCTATGGGTCTCTGTGTGGTGAGTCTATGGGTGTTTGTGTGGTGAGTTTATGGGTCTCTGTGTGGTGAGTCTATGGGTCTCTGTGTGGTGAGTCTATGACTCTCTGTGTGATGAGTCTATGGGTCTCTGTGTGGTGAGTTTATGGGTCTCTGTGTGGTGAGTCTATGGGTCTCTGTGTGGTGAGTCGACGGGTCTCTGTGTGGTGAGTCTATGGGTCTCTGTGTGGTGAGTCTGTGGGTCTCTGTGTGGTGAGTCTATGGGTATCTGTGTGGTGAGTCTATGGGTCTCTGTGTGGTGAGTCTATGGATCTCTGTGTGGCGAGTCTATGGGTCTCTGTGTGGTGAGTCTATGGGTGTTTGTGTGGTGAGTCTATGGGTCTCTGTGTGGTGAGTATATGGGTCTTTGTGTGGTGAGTCTATGGGTCTCTGTGTGGTGAGTCTGTGTGTCTCTGTCTGGTGAGTCTATGGGTCTTTGCCTTTGTCTGCCTGCTAGTTAACCCGAAACTGATAACAGAATATACATTTTCAACACAACTCCTCTTATCCGCGAAAACGTCGCGGAGAAGAGTAATGGCAACACCCATTACCCGAGGATGACCGCGCAGGCAATAGGATGAATCTTCCATACGACTCGAGTACGAGGAAGCCGATTCGCTAAACATCGCAGGTAAAATCACTGCTAACCATGGTTAACAGGAAGACATATAGCTGCGGATAATAGGAGTTTCTGCTGACCCTACAGCTGCCGTGGATGCCATGAGTTGCGGATAACAGGGCTGCGGATATGAGCTCTGTAAAGATCTCTGTTACTGGTAGGAACCACCTGGTTCCACCAGCCCACAGGGGATTATTGTGTCCGTCCGTCGTGCACCCAAAAATGGGGAGGGTGGGGCTGGGTGAAGAGGAGAGGGTGGGGAGGGGCTGGGAGGGGAGGGTGGGGCTGGGTGGGGAGGGGAGGGTGGGGAGGGGCTGGGAGGGGTGGAGCAACCACAGCAAGAAAAAATGCTGAAGTAGGCGAGAGAGTTGCCGTGGCAAGAGGTTTTTTACGTAATCATCGGAATGCCCACGAAGTTTACGGCTAAGGCGAAACGAACACGACTTTGTGTTTATCCTGCCTGTTTGCGGGCGGTTGCGATGTAACCACGAGGCGCTGCCCGAGTCGCATTGATAGGTCCCTGAAACACTCAACAAGTCCATCCGCTAGTGGACCTTGCTCCACTGTAAAGTTGCCCCGAAGCGGTATTTTCTTCTTAGCAGAATGTGCAACTCCAGCGAATGTGATTCGATTTGTATCGTGCGGAACGCGATAAAAGCCCACGCGGGTTCTTGGAAACGCGGCAGTTTAAATTCTTTGCTGTTCGTAAATTTAAGAAACAAAAATTTAACTCGTTCAATCTCAGCTAACGGATGGTAGCATCGTTTTTATACATAATCGAAGTGTTTTTTTTGGTTGGGGATGGTCCATAAATGACGTCACGCACCTGGGGGGGGGGGGGTCAGACAGTGTTACGAGGGGTTTAGAAATGTGACGTCACATCAAATTGCACAACTTTAAATGTGTGATGAGTCTATGGGTCTCTGTGTGATGGGTCTATGAGTCTCTGTGTGAGTCCATGGATCTCTATGTGATGAGTCTATGGGTCTCTGTGTGATGAGTCTATGGGTCTCTGTGTGATGGGTCTATGGGTGTCTGTGTAGTGAGTCCATGGATCTCTGTGTGATGAGTGTATGAGTCTCTGTGTGATGAGTCAATGGGTTTCTGTGTGAGTATATGAGTCTCTGTGTGATGGGTCTATGAGTCTCTGCATGTGAGTCCATGGATCCCTGTGTGATGAGTCTATGGGTGTCATTGTGATGAGTCTATGAGTCTCTGTGTGAGTCCATGGATCTCTGTGTGATGAGCCTATGGGTCTCTGTGTGATGAGTCTACGGGTCTCTTTGTGATGGGTCTATGGGTGTGTGTGTGGTGAGTCCATGGATCTCTGTGTGATGAGTGTATGAGTCTCTGTGTGATGAGTCAATGGGTTTCTGTGTGAGTATATGAGTCTCTGTGTGATGGGTCTATGAGTCTCTGCATGTGAGTCCATGGATCTCTGTGTGATGAGTCTATGGGTGTCATTGTGATGAGTCTATGAGTCTCTGTGTGAGTCCATGGATCTCTGTGTGATGAGCATATGGGTCTCTGTGTGATGGGTCTATGGGTGTCTGTGTGGTGAGTCCATGGATCTCTGTGTGATGGGTCTATGAGTCTCTGCATGTGAGTCCATGGATCTCTGTGTGATGAGTGTATGAGTCTCATTGTGATGAGTCTATGAGTCTCTGTGTGAGTCTATGTATGTATGTTGAATTGCTTTTGAACTGTGTGCAGCCAACCGTGATAATCGGAGGTGCGGGGGAAAGACACCTAAACACGCAAAGCAGTTCTAAACCAATGAAGTGTTCAATCTCCCGCGTGTCTCGTGATCTCCATCGCAGAGGCTTGGTTGTGAAGAGCGGTGCCGGCTACTCTGATCACCGAGAGAGACGAAGATGTCCAACACGGCGCACATCTCCAAGGAGGAGCTGCTGGAGATCAGGGAGGCCTTCGACAAGATCGGTAACTCGCCACCGTCGTCGTCGTCGTCGTCATTATCACCGCCAATAATCATCGTCGTGATCATCGTCATCAGCGTCGACATCAAAAAACACAATCATCATCAGCAGCAGCGGCATGATTGTCAAGCAAAATAAATGTGATAGTCACCGTCGTCATAAATACACTAATTTATTGGCTGAAAATCTCTTAATATATAGAGGACTGCAGAGCTTGGGAAATCGTCGGTAGCGCCGGCTACCGGCCTGACTGATACATTCCGGCCCCTTTGTGGTTCCTCGGCGAATGTGAGATGCATTTTGCTGAAACGACGACGCAAATGTAAAAAAATAAAACGTTACAATTATTGTCATCGTTAAAACATTGTCATCATCACCTTCAATGCCATCGTCATCACCACGACCATCGTCATCCAAAATCATCGCTGTCATCATCATTCGCGTCAACAACATCAACCGCCATCATCGATTATTACCATGAACAATCGTCAAATATTGTATATCATCACCTATCATCATCATCACTGTCATCTGCACAATCACCATCGACAACGTCGCTACAGGAATTGTTGTCGTAAGATCCACGCCGGCGATTCGCCAGAATTACAGCTCCATTACATACGTATATATACAAGGCGTTACAAAAGGAGGGACCCAATTCAAAGCAGTGTATTTCACGATGGAAGCATGTTACAATTACACAAAAAGTTACAAACGGTTTAATGAGTTATCAAGTTTCACTAACCATTTTATAAACGCTCTATGTGCCCTCCACCTGCTTTACGGACATCGAGACGATGGTTGAATTCCTCCCAAACGCCTCTCAAAGTGTCTTCTTCTACTAAAGTTACCGCTGCCGTGATTCTGTTTTTGAGGTCATCCAGATTAGTCGCTAATGGTGGCACAAAAACACGGTCTTTGACGTATCCCCACAAGAAAAAATCGCAGGCTGTGGTGATGTCTGGGGATCTTGGGGGCCAAGAGCGTAGCGCCAAGTCTTGGGGTCCCGTGCGACCTTTCCAACATTGTGTGTCTTGCGAATGACTGAGGCTAGGGGCTGTTTGTGCACTGGGAGAGGCATATAGCGGTAATCATTTGAAACTCTATGCCCCGCCCTCTCTATGCCCCGCCTTCTCTATGCCCCGCCCTTTCAAGAGTGGTAAGAGTTTCATTCATGGGCGGTTCGTGGTTGCAGAGATATAGCGATTTCAAATCGGGTCCATTTAAAAAAAAATGTATATTCCTGGATCAACCTCAGGGTGGTGATCGAGGTCACCCACGGACTCGCCCGTGACCTCTCCCTAACCTCGACTCTGCACGCCACCCTAACCACCCTAACCCCGCACCCCCCGTAGATGTGAACAACAGCGGCTACGTGCAGGACTTCGAGCTGCAGGACCTGTTCCGCGAAGCCAACCTGCCCATGCCGGGCTTCCGCGTGCGCGAGATCGTGCAGAAGCTCATGGTCGTGAGCGACACGGATCAGGATGGGCGCATCAGCTTCGACGAGTTCATCTCGGTAGGCTCTCTTGCCTCTCCGTCTCTCTGTCCGTGTGTCTGCCTGCGTGCGCGTGTGTGCGCGCGTGTTGCCACTATTCGCTAACGGCACTTGCCCCAACGATCTGTGAAGGCTATACGGTGGGTCTTTGCATAGCAGTTAGCACGCTGCGCTACGAAACCTCGTGCGACCCTGGTTCGATTCCCGCTCGGGGCCACCAACACCCGTGACGATTATCCGAACGGGTCCTGGGCCTCCCCTAGGTCGACTCAGCCTCAAATCCGTACCTGGTGTGGTGCGTAAATATCGCCACCGGAGAGACAAAGGCGGCCGGGCGTGGTGCTGGCCACCCACCCCCTCGTGTGCCGTTGCCAGCATTCGGAGGTGCTCGCGAACATCACTTGCCCCAACGGTCTGTTGAGGCTATATGGGGGACCGTTGTTTTTGTGGTGGTGATGGTGATGACGACGACGTGCCTGCAGGTTTACCATGAGCTGAAGAGCACGGAGATCGGCAAGACGTTCAGGAAGACAATCAGCAAGAAGGATGGCATCCTGGCCATTGGTGGCACCTCCAACATCTCCAGCGAAGGGACCCAGCACTCGTATTCGGGTAGCGCAGCCACACACAGACACACAGCTGGTACACACACACAGCGACACACACAGCCACACACACAGAGACACACACACAGGCGAACACACACACAGCCACACACACAGCCACACACACACACACAGCTGTACCACACACACAGACACACAGCTGGTACACACACACAGCGACACACACAGCCACACACACAGAGACACACACACAACCACTCACACACAGCCACACACACACACAGCTGTACCACACACACACAGACACACACACCAGCTAGAAAACGCAGCCACACACACGCACGCACACACACACGCACACGCGCGCACACGCTCGCACACGCTCGCACACACACGCACGCACACGCACACACGCACACACACACGCACACACACACGCACACATGCACGGTCATCTAGGTCATCTCAGTCAGTCGACCCGTGGCACCTGGGTCTGCCCCGTGACCTCCCCGCCAGCGGGCGTTCGACACTTCACGTGGCCTCAAAGTGCACATGGCCTGGCACAAGCGTCGTGGTGACGTCACCGCCACTTAGTGGCGAATGGCGGTTGTTGTTATTGTGTGTGTGTAAGTGTGTGTGTGTGAGTGTGTGTGTGTGAGTATGTGTGTGAGTGTGTGTGTAAGTGTGTGTGTAAGTGTGTATGTGTAAGTGTGTGTGTAAGTGTGTGTATGTGTAAGTGTGAGAGTGTGTTGTTGAGTGTAAGTGAGTGTGTGTATATGTGTGAGTGTAAGTGTATGAGTGAGTATGAGTGAGTGTGTGTGTGTGAGTGTGTGTGTGTAAGTATGTGTGTGTGAGGGTGTGAGTGTGTGTGTGTATATGTGTGAGTGAGTGTGAGTGTGTGTAAGTGTGTGTGTGTAAGTGCGTGTGTGTAAGTGCGTGTGTGCGTGTGTGTGTGCGCGCGTCCACAGTGGAAGAGCGCGTGGCGTTCGCCGGCTGGGTCAACAAGGCGCTGGAGCCTGACCCCGACTGCAAGCACGTGCTGCCCGTCAACCCCGACAACGAGTCGCTCTTCAGGTCCTTGGGGGACGGCATCATCCTCTGGTGAGACACAGAGAGAGAGAGCCTGGTGGTGGAGCCGGTGGGGGAAGACTTTCTTAGCCAGATGCCACCCTGGGGGTGCGTGGGAAGGAGCAGGGTAGGGAATTGGTGTGAGCTGCAGTGTAGTGGTTGAGTCGGGGAGTGGGTGAGTTTGTGGGTGCGTAGGTGAGTGAGTGGGTGGGTGATAGGGTGGGTAGGTGAGTGGGTGACTGTGTTGTTGTGACATGCAGTGTGGTGGTTGAGTCAGGGAGTGGGTGAGTTTGTGGGTGGCGGGGGGGTGAGTGAGTGGGTGAGTGGGTGGGTGAGTAGGTGGCTGGGTGAGTGGGTGGGTAGGTGAGGGGGTGGGTGAGGGGGTGGGTAGGGGAGTGAGTGGGTGGGTGAGTGGGTGGGTAGGTGAGTGAGTGGGTGGGTGGGTGAGTGGGTGAGTAGGTGAGTGAGTGGGTGAGGGGTGGGTAGGTGAGTGAGTGGATGGGTGAGTGAGTCGGTAGGTGAGTGGTTGAGTTAGTGGATGGGTGAGTGGGTGGGTAGGTGAGTGAGTGGGTGGGTGGGTGGGTGGGTAGGTGAGTGAGTGAGTGGGTGAGGGGGTGGGTAGGTGAGTGAGTGGATGGGTGAGTGGGTGGGTAGGTGAGTGAGTGGATGGGTGAGTGGGTGGGTAGGTGAGTGAGTGGGTGGGTGAGTGGGTGGGTAGGTGAGTGGGTGAGTGGGTGGGTAGGTGAGTGAGTGGGTGGGTGAGTGGGTGGGTAGGTGAGTGAGTGGGTGGGTGAGTGGGTGGGTAGGTGAGTGAGTGGGTGGGTGAGTGGGTGGGTAGGTGAGTGAGTGGCTGGGTGAGTGGGTAGGTGAGTGGGTGAGTGGGTGGGTAGGTGAGTGAGTGGGTGGGTGAGTGGGTGGGTAGGTGAGTGAGTGGGTGGGTGAGTGGGTGGGTAGGTGAGTGAGTGGGTGGGTGAGTGGGTGGGTAGGTGAGTGAGTGGCTGGGTGAGTGGGTGGGTAGGTGAGTGGGTGTTGTTGTCACCTGCAGTGTGGTGGGTGACCACAGTGTGGATGAGACGGTGGTAACGGTCCGGCTAGTCGACCACATTTCACTTTGTGTGTCGTGCGGCTCTGATCAAGGGGACCTCTTTTTGATTTTTTTTGTCTGTCGCAGCAAAATGATCAACATTTCCAGTCCAGACACCATCGACGAGCGAGCCATCAACAAGAAGAAGCTCACCGCTTTCACCATCCAGGTGAGGAGTGGCAGGACCCTGCTGGGAACGGGTCACGAGGCTCGGCGAGGCTCTCCTGGCGACAACAAGCGGAGCAGCAACCGCACAACCGCACAACCACACAACTACACAACCACACATCCACACAACCACACATCCACACATCCACACAACCAGCGTCTGCCCTCTTCACCTTTCCTTTAGTCGAACTTATCCCACTGGTCTCACCTCTGCCCCCTCTGATCTCCTGTTCTGCGTCTTCACCTCTCTCCTGCCCGGTGGATGCCCTCTAATCACTTCCCTCGTCTTGCTGAAACCACCGAACAGAGACGGTCGCTGTCACCGCGGCCGTCCGCAACGCTCTTCCCTTCCGATGTTCGGAAGCCAATGGGGCTGGGCACTTTTAAATCTGAAACTGAAAACGAATTTCTTTCGAATTGCTTTTTGTGTTTAGTTAGTTGGCCTTCCCCCCGCCGCCCGCACCTCCGATTAGCACGGTTGGCTACGTACTGTGCAAAAGAAGTTCAACACACATCCTGCCACGGTGGCTAGGAGATGTTAACTACCTCGCCTGGTATACAGAAGGTCGTGGGTTCGATCCCGACCCTGACGCCTGCTGCTGTATATTTGGAGTCTGCGTGTCTCTCTCTCTCTCTCCCCGTGGTCGCGTGGATTTTTCTCCGGGTCCTCCGGTTTTTTTCTCCACATTTATAATCGACGCCGCTACGCGTTGAGAGCGGTTGGCTTCTGCTATGAATGTCGACGCTGCGGCGATGAGCCGTCACTTCCTTGGCCTCTCACTTCGTGGCCACTTCTGCAAAAGAACTACGCGAAGCTCAGCGAGGCCTTCACCTGGCGAAATAAAAATTGAAAACATTTTAGTTTCATTTACAAGCCACGTCTCAAGCCGGAAACGCCACCCACCAGCCACCCTCAACCGCCCCCCCTCCAACCCCTCCACGCTGTACCACCCTTTGCCGTAGCCCGGCTCTCTGTGTCACCGGCTCTCTGTGTCACCGGCTCTCTGTGTCACCGGCTCACCGTGTCACCGGCTCTCCGTGTCACCGGCTCACCGTGTCACCGGCTCACCGTGTCACCGGCTCTCTGTGTCACTGGCTCTCCGTGTCACTGGCTCAACGTGTCACCGGCTCTCCGTGTCACCGGCTCTCTGTGTCACCGGCTCACTGTGTCACCAGCTCTCTGTGTCACCGGCTCACCGTGTCACCGGCTCACCGTGTCGCCGGCTCTCTGTGTCACCGGCTCTCTGTGTCACTGGCTCTCCGTGTCACTGGCTCACCGTGTCACCGGCTCTCCGTGTCACCGGCTCTCCGTGTCACCGGCTCTCCGTGTCACCGGCTCTCCGTGTCACCGTGTCTCCCGTGGGCCCCCATGGGCCCCCTTGGTCGGCCACGTCAACCGGGGTTCACCCCGTCTTGACCCCCCCCCCCCCCCACGGCCTTCTCGCCCCCCGCAGGAGAACCTGAACCTGGCCCTCAACTCGGCGTCGGCCATCGGCTGCCAGGTGGTGAACATCGGCGCCGGGGACATCCGCGAGGGCAAGCCGCACCTGGCGCTCGGCCTGCTGTGGCAGATCATCAAGATCGGCCTCTTCGCCGACATCGAGCTCACGCGCAACGAGGGTGAGCGAGCGCTCGCCCTCGTCGCTCGCTCACCGTCACTTACCATCGTCGCTCACCATCGTCGCTCACAATCGTCGCTCGCTGCCGTCGCGTCCGGGTCCCGTGGACCGACCGCTCGTAACGATAACCACGCCCGTTGTGTGCGTTTGTGTGTACGTGTGCGTGTGTGCGTGCATGTGTGTGTGCATGTGTGTGTTTGCGTGTGTGCGTTTGTGTGTGCATGTGTGTGTGTGCCTTTGTGTGTGAGCGTTTGTGTGTGCGTTTGTGTGTGCGTGTGTGTGTGCGTTTGTGTGTGCGTGTGTGTGTGTGCGTGTGTGTGTGTGTGCGTGTGTGCGTTTGTGTGTGTTTGCGTGTGTGTGTGCGTGTGTGTGTGCGTGTGTGTGTGCGCGTGTGTATGTGTGTGTGCGTGTGTGTGTGTGCGTTTGTGTGTGCGTGTGTGCGTGCGTGTGTGTGTGCGTGTGTGCGTGTGTGTGTGTGCGTTTGTGTGTGCATGTGTGTGTGTGTGCGTGTGCATGTGTGCGTGTGTGCGTGTGCATGTGTGCGTGTGTGTGTGTGCACGTAACTCACCCCTCGACCCCCCACCGCTCTCCGCTGCCTCCCCTCCCTCATGGCAGCCCTGGTGGCCCTGCTGATGGACGGCGAGAGTCTGGAGGAGCTGATGAAGCTCTCGCCAGAGGAGCTGCTCCTCCGCTGGGTCAACTACCACCTGGATAAAGCCGGCTGGCAGAAGATCAACAACTTCACCACCGACATCCAGGTGCACCACACCCCAAATCCACCCACCCCTTCACCCCCACCCCACGATCGTTGTGAATTTTTCTCCAGGTCGTCCGGTTTTGCCATCACATTGACAATCAACACGCGTTTCGACCGTTTGGCTGCTGCTGCTGCTGTGAATTCGCACGTGCGATGATGGCCAGGTCGCCTCTGGGAAGAGAACGAGTCGCTCAGGGGGCCTTTTACATGGTTAAGAGGATGGTTTAGTTTTTATTTATTTTAAGGTTAACTTGGGGTTTACAACTTGGGCCCGCCGTTTAGCTCGGGACCCCGCACCTCCGACTAGCAAAAGAAGTTCAACATACATCATCATCATCATCCCGAACCTCCAATTATAATGGTTGGCTACGTACGGTGCGAAAGAAGTTCAACATACATACATACATGCATTGAACGTTTTGATTACAGTATTATTATTGAGTACTCTTCGCATTGTCACCAGATTCTGCACGCACAGGTGGACATCACCGTCATCTTGTTCCGTTATAATATGTGGATGCCATGGTCGCAAGATGTTAACTACCTCGCCTGGTGTACAGGAGGTCGTGGGTTTAATCCGGATACTGAGGCCTGTATATGTGAGTTTGCATATTCTGCCCGTGGTGGCGAGGATTTTCTCCAGATCCTCCGGTTTCTGAACGTGATTAGAATGTTGAGCATTTGGCTGCTATAACTTTCCACGTGATCAGCCCACTTCGTTGAGCTATCAATTGTGGCCAGGTCAGTTCAGTGGGGCCTTACCTACTAAAATGTATATATATAAGAATAGGTTTTCCCCTATTTTCTGGCAACAAAACAGGTGTTAAGATGTTAAAACACCAAACTGAAACCTTTTACAAAGAATCATGTCTGCATTAACCACAATGCTTGTGGTCAGAATGCAAACTAAAAACGTACTCTGATAATATATTGCATTGACTTTGAAACTGATTGGTCCACACCAGAGACAGCTTTCTTTTGAGCCTAGTCTCAAAACGGTGTGAGAAACAGAGGACGTCAAAAGGGGAAAACCTATTCTCATATTTTGGTACTGGCAAAGGAGGTCCCATGATGTAGATATATATATAGTTTAATAGTTTTTTTTTACAGTTAAATGACGACACATGCATCATCAATGCGGCTGTCTCTCTCAAGCGAGCGCGACGCTGGGGGCCCCAACTAAACGTGCCGCTGCACCTCCCTCCTCCCCACCGAACCCCCACCGTGTCCCCAGGACTCGAAGGCGTACTTCCACCTCATCAACCAGATCGCGCCCAAGGGCGACGTGGAGGGAGAGGAGAAGATCGACATCGACATGGCCGGCTTCAATGTGAGCCCGCGGAAACATGCGCACACGCGCACACACGCGCACGTACACACGCACACATGCACACGCCCACACACACACGCACACACGCACACACGCATGCACACACGCACGCACGCAGAGGGGGATGTGGTGGAGAGGGGACGGGCAGGGGGGGACGTGGTGGGGGGCAGGGGGAGATGAGGTAGAGGGGGGGGAGGTACGTGTTGGTGGTGGTGTAACAGAGACTGGCGTGGTGTAATGGTTAGTAAGCTGGAGATTTCTGAGCTTGCCGGTTCAACTCCACCCCATGCTCCCATAAACACACTACCCAAACCGGCCCAACCCCGTGTCGGGGGGGGGGGGAAGGGGCGGGGCCTAGAAATGAAAGAGGCGGGGCCTAGAAAATAAGGGGCGGGTCCAAAAAAGGAAAGGCGCGGAGCCGAAAGAGGAGGGGGGCACGCTATGAAGGCTGGCACCAAACTGTGCCACACGACCTCCAGCATGGCTTTGTGGGTATCCTCGGTACCGATGAAGTTATTTTATTTCGATTTAAAGCTTTCGTGACTGCAGGGATTCATCTTCTTGGTTCTTTCGGTAAAGTCACGTAGAAGTGGAAGTAATAAAATAATAAAAATAAAACATAATAAAATAATTCTAATGACGTTTCGGGGACAGCGTCTGACACTGTCTCCCCGACAGACCTGGTCTTCGCCTGAGGACGGCTGCTTGCGTTGTGGCCGAAACTTCGTGAGAATTATATTTATTATTTTATTACTTCCCTTCTACGTGACTTTAACCGAAAGAACCAAGAAGAAGTTATTTTATTTTCGCGCGTACGCAACCATCGTTCCGCTCCGATGACGTACAATGCGTACGTACGCGCGTACGACGACGGTGACCCTGATTACCTGCCACCGCTGTTGCCCGCGGCCGCTGTCCCCCCCCCCCCCGCCACTCCTCCCGCCACAAGGAGCAAGACGAGACAAAGCGCGCCGAGCAGATGCTGCAGCAGGCCGACCGGCTGGACTGCCGGCAGTTCGTGACGCCCACCGACGTGGTGCGGGGCAACTACAAGCTCAACCTGGCCTTCGTGGCGAACCTCTTTAGCAAGCACCCGGCGCTCAGCCGGCCCGAAAGCGGCATCGACTGGAGCCAGCTGGAAGGTAACAGCTTGCGCTGTGTGTGTGGAGCGGGCGGTGGCCGTGGGTGGGGGTGGTCGTCGGAGAGAAGACGGCGATAGACACCGCGGCAGAGGTCGCAAACGGGTTTTGATTCCTTACCCGTACCCGTACCCGGCCGCACCAGGGTCGCAAATGGGTACCCATACCCGTACCCGGCCGAGTACGGGTAGCCGTTCCCTACCCGTACCTGTACCCTACCCGAAATGAGTGACAAACGGTTACTCACCAGTGACTCACGGCCTACCCGTACCCGTACCCGGCCGCACTAGGGTCGCAAACGGCTACCCGTACCCGGCCGGCCTTAGACGGACGCACCAAAACCTGGGCTTGATGTCCCCGCACACCGCAGCTTTTGGCCGCGCCCCAGAGGATCAGCGATATTGGCCTCGGGGGAAAAGAAAAAAAGAGTCAAATCAAGGGCTCGGCGTTCAGCCTCGCACGTCGAGACCCCCTTCGCGTATTGGCCCAATAAGTCAGCATCCCACCCAGGGCCTCGCTGGGCCATAGCAGCAAAGCGAGGCCCTTTTGCTCCGGCTGTGTGCGCGAAACAAGGCCCCCAACCCAGAGGCTTGCGGGCCTTCAGTTGCCCGCACCTCCGATTAGTATGACGGTCGGCTGCGTAGGGTGCGAAAGAAGTTCCGCACATGCACGTGCCTACACCCCAGGGCCGCAGCGGGCATCCAGTCGGGGACGGATTGACCCCCGGGATTTTAGTCCGTCAGCCGCAACGTCACCAGCTACTGAAGACGGAGGGGGGGGTTTATGATTACACTACTACACGCTTTATGACCACTACGATGACACGTTTTGATGAACGTGCGTCACGAGCATTTGTCAATTTCTGCTCGCGTCCCCGCCGGAAAAAGAAGAGAAGACACCCCGCAGTGGTTGTTGTTGTTGTTGCTGTTGTCTCCACCACGGAGGGTTGAGACGGTCGTCGTCGTGGTCATTGACGGTGCGCGTCCCCCCCCCCCCCCCTCCTAGCGAGCTTGTCTCTCTCTCTCTAAACCCACCCCCCACCCCCCCACCCCCCCGCTCCTTCCTCTCAGAGATAGAGAGCGACGAGGCTGGCCTTCGCAATGTAGGTACTGTGCCGCGTGCCTGCGTCTCCCCCTTGAGTGGCGGCTCTCCCGCGCTTCCTCCTCTGCGTCAGGGTTCTTCAACTCGTTTTTTGGTGGCCCTGCATGGTAGCTCACGCGGTGGCCCACGTGATGGCCCTGCGTGGGGTCCACGTGGTGGCCCTGTGTGGGGTATCCACGTGGTGTCCCACGTGGTGGCCCACGTGGTGTCCCACGTGGTGGCCCACGTGGTGTCCCACGTGGTGTCCCACGTGGTGGCCCTGCGTGGGGTCCAAGTGGTGGCCCACGTGGTGGCCCACGTGGTATCCCACGTGGTGTCTCACGTGGTGTCCACGTGGTGGCCCTGCGTGGGGTCCACGTGGTGGTCCACGTGGTGTCCCACGTGGTGGCCCACGTGGGACCCAAGGGACCGGTTGAGATGTCTCCCCCTCAGCGTGGTCCTGCGAGCTGCGGCCTTCTAAGCAGATCGTCGGCTGAGCGAGACACTTCAGTTGATCTTGAAGTACCCCGTGAGCCGAGAAGCTCTCAAATCGGGTTTCATCGGCGACAAACAGGAGAGAGGCAGATGAGCGAGGCGTAGAGCATGGAGAGAGATCAACAACGGGGGGCTGGGGGGGTGCGGGTTAGAGGTTGTCTTCTCTCACGCGGGACTTGAAAGGCATCGTTAGTTGTAACGTGACGCCAGTTGACAGACTTAACGAACGAACAGAGTTTTTAGCGAGATGCTCAGTTTGAAAAGCCGTTCGATGGCATCTGCGGTTACCACATGGATTCCATTTGTGCCTCCTGCAAAAGGAGCGCACTTTGGCGATCGACAGGCGATATGAGCAATGGGTTGCGATGTGAGCAACGGGTTGCCCTTCACCGAAGTCACACTTAGGCTGTGACTCCTTCGATCTCCCATGTATGGAGGGAGGGCGGGAGGAGGTAGCCACACCGGCCTGTACGGTGGTAGAGGTCAGAGATGAGATAGAGAGCGAGAGCCGTCGACGAGAGATAAAAGATCGGTGAGATGGAGGCGAAATAAACCAGGCCTAGAGATGAGAGACCCGGACAGAAATGAGGTCACGTGCACGGAGTTCGCGACATCGCAACACGACGGCCGTAGCGTTTAACGCCCGTGGTGTTAATAACCCTCTCACCGTTCCGAGATGACCGCAAGTTGCAGGGTTGGGGGGTCTCGTTCACCGCCGAATCTCGGAACGCGCGAGCGGCACAGCGTTGATGTTATCCAGTGAGGCGTTAGGTGCGGTAGCGTCGTTGTTTTTAAAGACGTTGCTACTCACCGCAGAGAACTGTAGCGACACGACCGCCGCCACTATACGACGGCCGGCGCCAAGACTGTGCCACACCGCCCTCCCGCGCGCGCGTGGCCTTGCGTGGTGAGCCTCGGCACCGATCAAGTTGCTTTACTTTCGATGACGTGCATGTACGGACACGTAGGTGTATGTCATCGGACACTGGAAAGGGGGTTTCAGACGTCACGTGGCATATATCACGTGACCCGCCCCGCCAGCACGCATGGCGTGTATCATGTGACCAGCCCCGACCAGCACACACTTTTATTATTATTGTCGCGTGGCCCGCCATAAAATATAATTGAAGAACCCTGCTCTTACCCATAACCGCTCACGCAGATGGGGGGGGAGTGGGGGGGGGAGAGTGGGCTGCCCACTGGGCCACCGCTATTCTCTACTTGCAATCGCCCGATGGCGAGTCGGGTGACTTCCCCCACACGTGCCGAGACCGGTGTCGTCACACCGGTCGGCCCCCGGTAACTGGGGTACGTAACATGCGCTGGGAAAGGAGTTGGCTCCAAACCGGTGTATTGTACCAGCCGCCTGCTAGGTTGTCCTTGGGGTTTAACGACATCGAACCCACGACCGCCCGTATACCAGGCGGGGGAGATAACATCTCGCCCAGGCATTGGCAAGCGAGGGAGAAGGCGAGCCTGGGAGAGAGCCAGGGACATTACGCTCACGTAAGCTAAACCACGCACGCAGGACGCCAACCAACGCAGACCCCGGACCGTTAAGTAGCGAATTCTTTGCGGGATGTTTTCCTGGGACGATAAATCTCAGCAGCGGCACGAGTCATTACCATTCCCCTCCCCCCGCCCCCCCGTCAACGGGGGGAACACGCGGGGTGTTTGTGATTTATAGTGGCTCCAGAAATCCGTCGTGCGATTGCAAACCCCGAGTGCTGCTCTCTTGCAGTTGTTCCACCCGTTGTTGTTTGTTGTTGTTGTTTCCGTAAATGTTGTGAGAATCTGTGCTGCGTTGTCGCCTGTTTAATCCCTAGGGACGTCACGCAGCCCACGCGTGTCTCTCTCTCTCTCTCTGCGCGTGCGTCGCGTATCCCACTCAAATCCATTCACCCTTCGTCCGCCGCGCACGGTCAAGCGAAGGACCGTTGCTCTGCCGGAACGCGTGACCTCTCTCGTCGCGCGTCACACTGCTCACAGCTGCCGTACACCGGCGTCTCGCTAGTGGCGAAGGGGGTGGTGGGGGCGATCACAGGGAGGGTGGAGCCATTCCTTTGAGGGTCCCCCACTTCATAAACGTCCACGACCGCCGGCTGCAGTGCGCCGATCGTCGGCCTTTCTTCTCCACGGAGCAGCTCCGCTCGAGGGCATCACATTGGATTCACCTCCCCCCAATTGCGTCCAACCTCCCATTTTCCCAGTCGCAACAACCCTTGTGGCTCAGCCTCTTGTTTTCTCATCGCGTTGTCCAAGAATGTGCGTGTGCGTGTAACGTACGTTGAATTTCTTTCGCGCCATACGTAGCCAACCGGGCTAATCGGATGTGTCCGCTCAGAGGGGTGGAGGAGGGAGGACAACAAACTAAACACAAAAAGGAGTTCGAAAGAAATTAGTTTTCAATTGAGATGATTTAAAAATGCATAGCTCCCAGCGGCATCCTAATATCGGAAGGAAGAGCGTTCCAGACGGCCGCGGGAGCGCATCTGAAAGCGCCTCGCGAATGCGGTGACTGTCGTCTTTGTCGTGCGAGCTCCATCGTTAAAAAAGTTGTCTTTCTGCTCTTTTTTTCTCGGTCGCACGCCCGGCGTATTTCCTGGCACGCCATCGGTGTCGTGTCCAGACTTCGACGAATCCCATTTTGTGAACCCTGCAGGCCGGTGGTGAACCCACGTGCTCAACAGCGAGCGGGCCAGTGGCGGTCAGATTGTTTATTTAGACCGGAGGAATCCAATGAGCTATGCGGCTGTTTATTTCACAGATGTCCAGCAGCGATTGCCCAGTGCAGTGGGTTGGGTTGGCGGGGAGCAGCGGTGCAGCGGTTAGTGCCGCCCGCTTCGAAACCGGCGGCACGAGTTCGACTCCCGACTCACGAGCAACATTGGCGAAGAACATCTGAACCGGTCCCTTGGGCCTCCCTTAAGGTCGACTCAGCCTTAAATGAGTGCCTGGTGCAAGGCTGCTGGCCCTATGAGCCGCTGGCCGCGGGCACTCTTTTAGGGCCGCGTTGCCGTCGTGACCTCTGACCTCTTCCTCCGAACAGCACGGCGGTGCCGAGTGGTCCTCGGGGGGACCGCCGTCGCAGAAGTTTTCCTGCGGAAATCTCGCGCCCTGACCAGCGGTTTAATAACTAAAACTAAATAACTATCATTAATTTTCTTCACTTCTTTTTATATCTTCTTGGTTCTTTCGGTAAAGTCGCGTAGAAAGAGAAAATAATACATGAAGCTCATCATCAGGTACGAATGAAAACAAAACCTAGTAATCTTCTTGGTTCTTTCGGTAAAGTCACGTAGAAGGGAAATAATAAAATAATAAAAATAAAACATAATAAAATAATTCTCACGACGTTTCGGCCACAACGCAAGCAGCCGTCCTCAGGTGGAGAACAGGTCTGTCGGTAAGACAGAGTCTGTCTTTCCGACAGACCTGTTCTTCACCTGATTATTTATTATTTCCATTCTACGTGACTTTACCGAAAGAACCAAGAAGATGAATCCCTGCAGTCACGAAAGCTTTAAATCGAAGTTCTTTTTATATTTTTGTACTTCATTACGACTTGTATCTTACCAAGTAAGGCCCACGAAGCTGCGTAGTTCTTTTCATAAGCGACCTGGCGATCACAAATGATAGCTCAACGAACGTGGGCTAGTCATCATCACGTGGGAATTCACAGCAACAGCCAAAGACTCTGAACGCGTGGTGTTGTCGATTCTAAATGTGGAGGGGAAAAAACCGGAGGATCCCAGACAAAATTCCACGTGACCACAGGGAGAGAGACACACAAACTCCAAATATACAGCAGACATCGTCATGGTTCGAATCGAACCCACTACCCCCTGCATACAAGGCGAGGGAGTTGACATCTCGCCACTGCGGCACCTCATGGAAGAGCTCCAATACGACGCCGACCGCCGTCTGTCTCGTTCCAGGGTGACACTGGGTTATGCGATGTCCTCCCGAGTAACGTTCATCGCGTATCTTGTAAATTTCCATCAGCTCCGTCGGGTGTTCCCGTGTACCCATTCCCCGCTGTCAGATGTCTCGTGATTTTACCGATGGTTCCCCCCCCCTCCCCACCTCCCCCACTTAATTTTCTCGAGGCAACGGTTCACGTCGCTTTTTTGGAAAGGAGCCGGCGGAAGAAAATCTGGAACGTGGAGAAGGAAAGCAAAGATGACTTTGACGACGACTAAACCGGCAACCCCAGAGGCGGTACAGGATGGCCACCAAGTCCCTTTCCATGATAAAAGGATATCGTTACCCTCTATTCGAACAATCCACCAATGACAGATCAGATCACCTCCCAATCCATGCATCAATCGTCCACTGTATTATTATTTTAATAATTCTAGAATTCCTCGGGCAGAATGTGGCCAAAGGACATCGGCATTTCATGCAAAAGTTTACTTTGTGGCAGTCCTGAAGATGATAGCGATGCACCAGACGCCCCTCGTCCGCGATTAACGCATTCACACCCGCCACACCATCATGTTCGCCCGGCCACTTTGTCACGTAAATGAACAATCGCACATTCACGAGGAGCTTTGTTTCCTGCCCGCCCCGTGCCTATCCGGTGCTAACGCCGGCAACGCTTTGCACCTGATTGGCACGTGACGTGGGTTCTCGCCACTCGGCACGGTCGTGGGCCCTCCAGAGTTTATAAAATTTGATCACTGCTTTGTGCGGATGGACTCGATCCTTCCATTAGGGACGTGGAACTTCATATTCTTGGGTTTTTTCGGTAAAGTCACGTAGGTAAAACATTTAAATTTAAATTAATAAAAGTAAAATAAAATAAAAATCACGACGTTTCGGAGGCAACACAAGCTTCCGTCTTCAGGTGGAACCGTCACAGGATCTTCCACCACTGGCTCAAGGCTACAGATGTGACGCGATCCGCCGACCCGTACCCGTTGCTTTGTTTGGGAAATTGCCTTGACCGTGACCGTGGATAAGAGTGGTGGGTGAGCAGTCCATCGACCTACTGGCATTCAGGACCAACATTACCAAGCGGCACTTTGCTTCGGCGAGCGAACTCTGGAATCGGTTTCGACCTTCCGGGTCTCATCAGCGGAGCGAGGGCTCGTTGGACAAACGCTGCCGGGGTTAGCCAGACGTTGTTGTGCAAGCGCACTCCGTACGAACTGCGGCTTGTTTTTGACCCCCGTGCCGGGATTAACGTGCGTGCCTGCATTTTGCGTTTAACGCTTTGGGCCTTTTTTGTCAAGGCGGATGTGGTGACGGTGATGTCGGTGATGTTGGTGATGATGGTGATGGTGGTGATGATGGATGATGAAACGAAAAAGCCCGGGTCTCGGGCTCGGTCCCGGGGAAGTGGGATCCTTGCTGGGATCCGAGGTGGGGATCGGCGGTGGTGGTGGTGGTGGTTATGGTGGCTCGCCTGGTGAAGTTTCGGGGGCGCTACGGTGGCAAGATGTTAACTACCTCGCCTGGTATACAGGAGGTCGTGGGTTCAATCCCGACCCTGACACCTGCTGTATATTTGGAGTTTTGCATGTCTCTCATCTCCCCGTGGTCGCGCGGATGTTTCTCCGGTTCCTCTGGTTTTCCCCCTCGACTTTCAGAATCGACATCGCACGTTTCGAGTAGTTTGCTGCTGCTATATTGTCCCTCGTGATGATAAGCCACCTCGTTGAGCTGTCATTTGTGGCCATGTCGCTCCTGTGAAAGAGCTACGTAGCTCGGTGGGTTTTTTTTTAACCCGGTAAATAAAATAAAACATAGTTCAAAAAAAATAAAAAATAAAAAATAAAATATTTCGACACATCCGACAATAAGCATTTTGAGATTTCACAGGCGACAGGGGAAATAGGATCTCTGCGAGAAAAGAATATCAACGTGGCAACCGCGTCCCTCATCACCCGGTTACTCCCTTCACGTTTCGCCCACTTGCCCTCTGCTCTCTCCACCGTTGCCCGTGCATGCAGATGCCAGACGGCCTTTGGGCGCTTATCGGTCCGTTGCTTCTTGTGCACGGCGGTGCGGCTTGGGTGGTGGGAACTCAGGAATTAACTTTTTTGTCGTCGGTGGTGGTGATGGTGGTGGTGGCGGCGGTGAAAGGACTCGGCCGCTAAATTTCGATGTAAAGCTTTCGTGACTGCAGGGATTCATCTTCTTGGTTCTTTCAGTAAAGTCACGTAGAAGGGAAGTAATAAAATAATAAAAATAAAACATAATAACATAATTAAATTTCGATTTAAAGCTTTCGTGACTGCAGGGATTCATCTTCTTGGTTCTTTCGATAAAGTCACGTAGAAGGGAAATAATAAAATAATAAAACATAACAAAATAATTCTCACGACGTTTCGGCCACAACGCAAGCAGCCGTCTTCAGGTGGAGAACAGGTCTGTCGGGAAGGCAGAGTCTGAAGACTCGGCTGCTTTAATTTTTTTAAATGCCCAGGAACATTTGGGATGCCCAAACGTCCGCACTCGAAGATGGGACGTCGCGTTTCCTCTGCTGTGCACCCCCAGAGGAGGCCTTGCAGCGAGGCGACTGACAGATTGTTCCACTGGACCCCAACATTAGGAGGCGAACAAAGACAAAGGTCCCCCGTATAGCCTTAAAAGAATGCTGGGGCAAGTGCTGCTAGCAAGCACCTATGAAGGCCAGAACAGCACACGAGGGGGTGGGTGGCCAGCACCACGCCCGACCGCCTTTGTCTCCCAAGTGGCGATGATTACACTACGCACCAGATACTATTTTTTTGGCTGAGTCGACCTAGGGGAGGCCCAGGACCGGTACAGATAATCGTCACTGGCGTTGGCCGTGAGCGGAAATCGAACTCGGGTCGCCGGGTTTGTAGCTCAGCGCGCCTACCGCTCCCATCACTCAAAGACTCAGAGACCCAATGACTCACACAGAGAGCTATAGACTCACACAGAGAGCCATAGACTCACACAGAGAGCCATAGACTCACACAGAGACCCAATGACTCACACAGAGAGCTATAGACTCACACAGAGAGCTATAGACTCACACAGAGACCCATAAACTCACACAGAGAGTCATAGACTCACACAGAGACCCATAGACTCACACAGAGAGCTATAGACTCACACAGAGAGCTATAGACTCACACAGAGAGCCATAGACTCACACAGAGAGCTATAGACTCACACAGAGACCCATAGACTCACACAGAGAGCCATAGACTCACGTAGCGGAGTGGGGACGTTCGGAGGAAGATACATGCGAGGGTTCCTTATTTTGTAAAACCCTAAATAAAGTGGCTCTTCATGTAACACGCACATATAAACCCCCGTTAATTGGTCCGATATATATACAGGATCGCAGAGCTCGGGCAGTTGTTGGGTAGCGCCGGCTCACCACCAACCGCCACGTGGCTGTTGCTGAGGGCCGCTCCTCGTCTGTGCTGCCACCTCCTGGCGCCTCTCGATCTCTCGAGTCTGGTGAGGTGGTCCCTTGCTGTCGTTGCCTCGGGGAAGATGTTCTTCCTTGTCTTTTGGTCTCAAAGGGGCTTTTCAGGGATTTGTGCTACAACAGAAGAAGAAGAAGCAGCAGCAATGTCCAACCACATCCGCAGGTTCATGGCATCGCTATCTTGTCTTCAATTAACATTTGGACTCGGCACACAAAGACTAAACAGAAACACGTGTTACACTTTAAATATGGCAATGCTCGCAAGGATGGCAATAATGACATTATTCATAATAATGTGGTAACATTGATGAGTTAAACGAATCCAAATTGCCACGGAAGCCACGCGTATCAACACCCAGTGTTCTACAAAGACAAAGATCCCCCGTATACCCTTACCAGACTATTGGGGACAAGTGCCGTTAGCGAGTGTATGTAGTCAGCACCACGCCCATCCGCCTTTGTCTCCCCAGTGGCAATGTTCACACACCGTACCAGGTACTCATTTGAGGCCGAGTCGGCCTAGGAGGAGGCCCAGGACCGGTTCAGATAATCGTCACTGACCGTGAGCGGAAATCGAACTCGGGTCGTTAGGTTCAGTAGCGCAGCGCGCTAACCGCTACACCACCGCTCCCCCCTAGTGTTCTACAATCACACACACACTCATCACTCGCACGCTCACAAAGATAAAGACAAAGATCCCCCCCACAACCCGTATAGCCTTCAACAGACTGTTGGGGCAAGTGCTTATTAGTGGCGACAGTTGTGGATGTGGCAGATGCTTGCTGGTGATGGCATGAGCTTCGCTCTCCGCTCTCTCTGTGCGTGACGGACGCATGCGGCGCGGGCATGGGGTGAGCGGCGGTGAGGTGAGGGTGAGCAGGTGAGCGAGGGTGACGCGTGGGAGTGACAACCCACGCCGTCCACCACCTCGCCCCGCTAACCCCGAGCGCGTGTGCCGTGTCGCCAGGCGAGACGAGGGAGGAGCGGCAGTTCCGCAACTGGATGAACTCCCTCGGGGTCATTCCCTTCGTCAATCACCTGTACAGGTGAGCCGCGGGCGTTCTTGGGTCACGGTTTGGATGCGACACCACGCGCGCGTGTGTGCGTGTGTATGTGTGTGTGTGCATGTGTGTGTATCTGTGCGTGTGTGTGCGTGCGTGTGTGTGTGCGTGTGTGTGTATGTGTGCGTGTCCGTGTATGTGTGCGCGTGCGTGTATGTGTGTGTGTATGTGTGTGTATGTGTGCGTGTGTGTGTGCGTGTGTGTGTGCGTTTGTGTGTATGTGTGTATGTATGTGTGTGTATGTGTGCATGTATGTGCGTGTGTGTGTATGTGTGCGTGTATGTGTGCGTGTATGTGTGCGCGTGTGTGTATGTGTGCGTGTCCGTGTATGTGTGCGCGTGCGTGTGTGTGCGTGTATGTGTGCGTGTGTGTGTGCGTGTATGTGTGCGTGTATGTGTGCGTGTGTGTGTGCGATAGTGTAGCGGTTAGCGCGCTGCGCTATGAACCTGGCGACACAGGTTCAATTCCCGCTCACGGCCAACACCGGTGACGATTATCTGAACCGGTCCCGGGCCTCCCCTAGGTCGACTCAGCCTCAAATGAGTACCTGGTACGGTGTGTAAACATCGCCGCTAGGGAGACAAAGGCGGTCGGGCGTGGTGCTGGCCACCCACCCCCTCGTGTACCGTTCCGGCCTTCATAGGTGCTCGCTAACAGCACTTGCCCCTACAGTCTGTTAAGGCTATACGGGGGATCTTTGTCTTTGTATCTGTGTGTGTGGGGAGCGGTAGCACAGCGGTTAGCGCACTGCGCTTCGAACCCGGCGAGCCGGGTTTCATTCCCGCTCACGACCAACACCCGGTGACGATTATCTAAACCGGTCCTGGGCCTCCCCTAGGTCGACTCAGCCTCAAATGAGTACCTCGTGCGATGTGTAAGCAACATCGCCACTATGGGTGGTGCCGGCCTTCACAACAGCACTTGCCCCAACGGTCCGTTGAGGCCACACGGGGGATCTTTGTTGTGCCCCGCAGTGACCTCACGGACGCGCAGGTCATCTTCCAGCTGTACGAGAGGATCCAAACGAAGGTGAACTGGGACAAGGTGAACAAGGCGCCGTACGCCAAGCTGAGTGCCCACATGAAGAAGGTGAACCCTAGTGACGTCATCGCCACCTACCCCCCCCAAATCCCCCCCCCCCCAAAAACCCCCACCAACATCGCTTCAATAGTCCCCACCCCCTTGGCCCTGAGATTGAGGATTCATAATTCGTGAGGTCACGGTCACGGCAAATAAGCGGAGGGAAACCTGTCCCCGCCGCGTAGCGAGAGAAATCGCCCTGTGCTGGCTCGGGTCACGTGTGCCAGTGGAAAAAAAGAGGGGGCCCTATTGTTTTTTAAACATAATATATTTAGTGTAATTTTTTAAATCCTTTATATTAAGTTCGCGTGCTTGCTTGCTTGCTTGCGTGCTTGCTTGCTTGCTTAGGACCGTACAAATCTTTCGGTCGTTTTTTAACCCACTTCCCGTGATCCAATCGAGCTGACATTTTCCACACAGACTCGTTGTGCCAGACAATTATTGTTCGTGAAAAAAAATTCCCAAAATTTTACACTTTTTAGGCAAAAAAAAATGTATTTTACATATTTTCAAATAGAACGCATTCATGGCTTTGGCTGAACGTCAGAGTGTAAGAGTCCAGAGCGTAACCCCTCCACAGGCCGTGGCGGAGTAGCGCAGTTGGTAGCGCCCTCGCTTCCCATGCCAAAGGTTGCGGGATCAATCCCCGCGTCCTCCACAGGCGAATATATTTTTAAATCCTTTATATTAAGTTCGCTGCCACGCATATAAAGGATTTATAGTGAAAAACTTTGTTTTTACGGGTTATACTTATTTGTTTTTTATTTTCTTATGATTAAAAATATTTTAAATATACATTCATTGCTTTATTATTTTTCGATTTAAAGCTTTCGTGACTGCAGGGATTCCTACTCTTGGTTCTTTCGGTAAAGTCACGTAGAAGGGAAATAATAAAATAATAAAAATAAAACGATACAATTCTCACGACGTTTCGATTGCAACACAAGCAATCATCATCAACCAAGTAAAAAAAGTAACTGAAAGAACCAAAGAGTTTTTTAAAAAAGTAAGTTTTTAGATTTATTTTAAAAGTGCTTCAGCCTCAACAACCGGAATTATGATGATTGCTTGTGTTGCAATCGAAACCTCGTGAGAATTTGATTGTTAAATTTTTATCATTTTATTATTTCCCTTCCAAGTGACTTCACCGAAAGAACCAAGAATACTTTATTATTACACATTTTTACATTACTTTATCATACATATTTTCATCATCATCATTTTTTCTTCTTTGTCTTTTGTCCGCAGCTTGAGAACTGCAACTACGCGGTGACGTTGGGCAAGAATTCGGGATTCTCCCTGGTTGGCATCGCGGGGCAGGACCTGTACGAAGGCAACCCCACGCTCACCCTGGCGCTCGTGTGGCAGATCATGAGACGGTGAGGCCTCCGCGTGAACGATCAGAATCTGGGTGGGGAGGGGCTGGTCACCCCGTGGTGCCCTTATAAAACTCAACGTTTAACCTACTCACGCCGGCTTGTGCCCGCCCTCGCAGTCGGCCATATTTGCGGAATACACCACGCCGCCGTTGACCCTGGCCATTGACCAAGCAACCCAACGTTCCTACCAGCTGTGCTTTTGCACGAATAGCGAATAGCGCTTCGTTGAAATCAAGTTTGATTGATTGAGTTGGCCGCGTGCGTGTCTCCAGGTACACGCTGATTGTTCTGGAGGACCTGGGTGATGGGCAGAAGGTGAACGACGAGATCATCATCGGCTGGGTGAACGAGAGCCTGGAGGAGGCCAGGAAGAAGTCTTTCATCTCCAGCTTCAGGGTGCGTCGCTAACGCTGCCATCACCATCCCCGCTACCACCATCGCCGTGTATCCGTGTCTGTTGGTGGTGCATCTGCAACGTCATCTCAGACAGTTCACCCATGTCACCCCGGTTCGGTCACCTTACGGCGAGCCTTCGACACTTCGCGTGACCTCAAAGTGCACCCCGTCTGGCACGGGCGCCGTGGTGACAGACCGTTCAAGGCTACACGTGAGGGTCGTGTGGTGTGGTGGATCGTTGTCTTTTGCAGGACACCAGCATAAGCAGCAGCCATGCGGTGCTGGACCTCATCGATGCCATCCAGCCCGGCTCCATCAATTACGACATCATCAAGACCGGCTTTCTCGACCTCAAGGAGAAGCAGGACAATGCCAAGTGAGAGACCACACTTCAGGCTTCCCAGGGCGGGCCAAGTGGTGGCTATGAGATGTTAACTCCCTCGCCTGGTGTACAGGAGGTCGTGGCTTCGATCCCGACCCTGACTCCTGCTGCTGAATATTTGGAGTTTGCGTGTCTCTCTCTCTCTCTCATCATCATCATCACGGTGGCTATGAGATGTTAACTCCCTCGCCTGGTGTACAGGAGGTCGTGGCTTCGATCCCGACCCTGACGCCTGCTGCTGTATATTTGGAGTTTGTGTGTCTCTCTCTCTCTCATCATCATCATCACGGTGGCTATGATATGTTAACTCCCTCGCCTGGTGTACAGGAGGTCGTGGCTTCGATCCCGACCCTGACGCCTGCTGCTGTATATTTTGAGTTTGCGTGTCTCTCTCTCTCTCATCATCATCATCACGGTGGCTATGATATGTTAACTCCCTCGCCTGGTGTACAGGAGGTCGTGGCTTCGATCCCGACCCTGACTCCTGCTGCTGAATATTTGGAGTTTGCGTGTCTCTCTCTCTCTCATCATCATCATCATCACGGTGGCTATGAGATGTTAACTCCCTCGCCTGGTGTACAGGAGGTCGTGGCTTCGATCCCGACCCTGACGCCTGCTGCTGTATATTTGGAGTTTGCGTGTCTCTCTCTCTCTCATCATCATCATCACGGTGGCTATGATATGTTAACTCCCTCGCCTGGTGTACAGGAGGTCGTGGCTTCGATCCCGACCCTGACTCCTGCTGCTGAATATTTGGAGTTTGCGTGTCTCTCTCTCTCTCATCATCATCATCACGGTGGCTATGAGATGTTAACTCCCTCGCCTGGTGTACAGGAGGTCGTGGCTTCGATCCCGACCCTGACTCCTGCTGTATATGTGGAGTCTGCGGTGTCTCTCTCCCCCGTGGTCGCGTGGATTTTTCTCCGGGTCCTCTGGTTTTTCCCCCCACATTTTGAAATCACCATCAAGCGTTTAGATTATTTGGCTGCTGTACATTTACACGTGATGATACACTTCATTGGGCTATCGTTTGTGGCCAGGTCACTTCTGACAAAGAGCTACGTAGCTCGGTGGGCCTTACCTGGTAAAATAAAGAATAGTTTAATAATCTTGGTTCTTTCGGTAAAGTCACGTAGAAGGGAAATAATAAAATAATATTTATATAAAACAATAAAAAATTCTCACGACGTTTCGACTGCAACACAAGCAATTATCATCAGGTGTGAAATCCACAAATTTTCTTTCTGTGGATATCACACCTGATGATTATTGCTTGTGTTGCAGTCGAAACGTGAGAATTTTTTCTTGTTTTATATTTATATTATTGTATTATTTCCCTTCTACGTGACTTTTCCGAAAGAACCAAGAAGATGAATCCCTGCAGTCACGAAAGCTTTAAATCGAAAACTATACAGGGTGCTTTGGAAAATGTTAACACTTAAATGAGACTATCGTTTTTAATGGAAAAAGAACGGGTAATAGCATTGTAACATGATAACAAATGTGATGTTAATAGCTTCAGAAAGTCTAAGAGTCTCCACTTGTTCGCCATCGTTGTCAACGCGTGCCTGGAATGTTCTCCAGGTGGTCTCCAGAGCCCGGAGGCGGCCACATGTCTCGTGGTATTGTTCATCTTCTTGGTTCTTTCGGTAAAGTCACGTAGAAGGAACATAATAAAATAATAAAAATAAAACATAATAAAATAATTCTCACGACGTTTCGGCCACAACGCAAGCAGCCGTCCTCAGGTGGAGAACAGGTCTGTCAAGTAGACAGAGTCTGTCTATTATTTTATTATGTTTATTTTAATTATTTTATTATTTCCATTCTACGTGACTTTACCGAAAGAACCAAGAAGATGAATCCCTGCAGTCACGAAAGCTTAAATCGAAATGTGGTATGGTTGTTGCAAATTATCAGAAGTGTTCAAAAACACGTTTATTTTATACAGGCACAAAACGCCGATCACAGAACGGAAGAGGGGGGGGGGCAGAGTGGGAACAGAAACTCCCAAAATTATTTTTAACCCGACTGTGCCCCCCCCCCTTCTCTCTCCTCTCTCCCTTCCCCTCTCCCTCCCTCGTCGCCGGCAGGTACGCCATCTCGATGGCGCGGAAGATCGGCGCGCGAGTCTACGCGCTGCCCGACGACCTCGTCGAGGTGAAGCCGCGCATGGTCATGACCGTGTTCGCGTGTCTCATGGGCCGCGGCATGAAGCGCGTCAAGTGAAGTGGGGTGGGGGGGGTGGATGGTGGAGGGGAGGGGGGGGAGTTGTGGGGGGTCCCGGCGGCTGTGACCGCCGCAGCCGCCCCTGCAGCCTAGCCAAACGTAAAAAGATTAAGTCAGAAACGAATGTCCTGAATGTCCACGTGTTTTTTTGTTCTTTAAATGGCCTTCCCCGGGTGGCAGAGGGGGGAGGGAGGGGGGGTTCTAATGCTAACGGGACCCCAACCGACACTGAACCAGCACCGTTGAGATCCATCCAATCGCTCGAACGCCGACGACGACGACCACGATGCCTCCGAGCGAAGCGCCCCCGTCAAGCTGTGAACCTGTACTCTTAGGTTTTTTTCGGGTAAAGTCACGTAGGTAAAAAATAAAAATTTTAAAAATTTTACCTACGTGACTTTACCGAAAAAACCTAAGAGTATGAATCCTTGCAGTCACGAAAGCTTCAAACCTGTACCGAGTCCGGGGGTCCCTTCCAAAGGCTTTTCTCTAGCGACGGAGAGCAAAGAAGAACGTCCCTCACCGTGGCTCCCGTCACAGCGCCGGGGGATGTCGCGGCGAATTTCCCGCGCTCTCCCGGCTTTCGCTTTCCCCGGTGCGACGTGCGGATCTCTTGCCCTGCGGCGGATTCTGTGATTATAACACTGGTCAACACACTTTGTCTGGCATAAGATGACGAGGATGCGTTACGTTCAACGCCGACGAATTCGAAACCAAAGTTGCCTACGTCTCGTCAAATACGACATTGACATCGTGTGCTGTAAACGTTAAATATCACTGGTCAACACACTTTTTCTGGCATAAGGTATTCCAACGGTTTTAAGGTAATTTGGGGTGCTGATTCCAAATCTGGAAAATCAGTTTTTGTCTATCACATCGGGTTTTTGAGATATCAAATATTGCATTTTCAATAAAAACTGCAGAAGAAAAATATTAAATAAATGTGGATATCTACATAAAATTATATTATAAACACACTATCCTAAAAATACAGCACCATATTTTAACACTAAAGCAGTCACTGACTCGCGACAACTTGCAATCATAAGTGACAGAGTTAATTTCGGATAAAATCAATGAAAATGGGGTATGCCGATAGCATAAAAATGAGATGTGATAGAGCAAATCTGAGATCAGATTAGGAATCAGCACCCTGAAATTAGTCTAGAACAGCTGCAAAAGTCCAGGCCAGAAAAAAGTCTTTTTTTTGTTGGCCAGTGTTATTAATGAAGTAACACACAAACACAGTTGTTGTTGTTGTTATGAGTTGCTCCGCGCGTCGCTCTTTGCTTGAAATCGGTTGCAGAAACAACCACAAAAAAATGCCCTAAACGTTTTCAGATCAGGCAATCGTAAGCCCACAAATGTTGTCGTGGGTTTATTCGCCAACACACAACCGGTGTGCTGAACTAGTATACGACACTATACACTACACTACTATACACCACACTATACACTACACTATGCACTACACTATAATTGTAAATGTTGTAGTGGGTTTACTCTCAAAAACACAACCGGTGTGCTGAACTAGTATACTATATTATACATGCCACTATACACTACACTATACACTACAATACTATACACCAAACTATACACTATTATACACTACACTATAATTTTAAATGTTGTAGTGGGTTTACGTTCCAACACGCAACCGGTGTGCTGAACTAGTATACTACATTATACATGACACTATACACTACTATACACTACACTACACTATACACTACACTACTATACACTACACTATACACTACACTATAATTGTAAATGTTGTCCTGGGTTTACTCTCCAACACGCAACTGTTGTGAGCTGTACTCGTCACGAATTCGCTACATTTTGCGTCTACCGTGACAAACCACACTGATTGTCCAATTCGGGTGGTGGCAGGTTAAACGACACATTTATATTCTAACACCAAAAACCTCTATCATGAACCCCCCCCCCCCCTCCTCTCCATTAGCATATTTACACGTACCACTCATGAAATATATATTTAAGCGCGTGCAATTATTTAATTACGACAAAATTAACACGCGGGAGGCTTTCGCGACAAATATCATCCATAATTCAGGTTTTTTTTGGGTAAGAACGCGTAAACATCTCATTTTAGATTGCGTAAATACGCGTGGTGGCGGGTTTTAACGACACGTTCATATATTTACGCGATCCAACCCAAAAAAAAACCAGCCGCATTACCCATTACAAAATTCGCTTTCCCCGTGTGGGAAAGATGTCGCCCTCCGTCGCAGCCTCGAAGTCGCGTGCGAGCCGCTAATTTCATTTGCAATCGGGTGAAAGTCTCTTTTCTTCTTCGTTGTTGCTTTTGGATAAAACCTCGCCGGTCCCCGCACGCGCGTCTCGACGGGGCCGATCGTGTCACATTCCACGAAAACGGCTGTCTGTCCCTGTGCTTTTTTTTTCTTACGTGAATCACGATAAAAGGGGGAAATGCTTTCAAAAATAAAATAATATTTTAGGCTTGACATCTGTGTGATTCTCATTCCGCCAGCAGTGATTAAAAACTCATTTCTTTAGAATCGCTTTTTGTGTTTAGTTTGTTGTCCTTCGCCCCTCCTCCCCCTTCCCGGCACCTCCAATTAGCACGGTTGGCTACGTACGGTGCGAAAGAAGTTCAACATACAGACCACACAACACACATACATAGTTGCAGGGTTGCGCCTTTATCTTTTTTTAGAATAACTTTTTTAATTAGAATAACTTTTCAGCGTAGGAGGTGGCCCAGCGGCTCCGAAGGAACATACAACATGCATAGTGACGTGAGCCAGCAATTGCAGGGGTGCGCCTTTATCTTTTTTTAGAATAACTTTTTTGTTCAGAATCATTTTCAGCGTAGGTGGTCAAGCGGCTCCGAAGGAATCGCAGAGTGGCCGAGCCGGCAGCCGCGCTGAGGCCTTCAGTTTTTTGATCCAGCCACGGCCTACAGTGAGGGGAAAAAATTAACCCGTAAAAACAAAGTTTTTCACTATAAATCCTTTATATGCGTGGCGGCTAGAGTCCTCTCGTCCTCTGGCTTGAGATGGCTTCCACCTATGGGTCAGATGATTGCCTGCCACCATTAAGCAATTGGTAATTAAATATTTTTAAAAAAAATCCTAAAAAGTGTAAAGTTATGGAAAAAAAATTTCACGAAAATAAATTGTCACGCACAACGAGTCTGTGTGCAAAATGTCAGCTCGATTGGATCACGGGAAGTGGGTTAAAAAACGACCGAAATATTTGCACGGTCGTAAGCGCGCAAGCAAGCAAGTGAACTTAATATAAAATATTTAAAAAGTATTTGATCCCCTGCTGATTTTGTACGTTTGCCCACTGACAAAGAAATGATCAGTCTATAATTTTAATGGTAGGTTTATTTGAACAGTGAGAGACAGAATAACAACAAAAAAATCCAGAAAAACGCATGTCAAAATGTTCTAAATTGATTTGCATTTTAATGAGGGAAATAAGTATTTAACAAAACAAAAAAACTTTTCAAAATGTGAAGTATTGATGACGGTCTGTGCCCAGTGTGGTGTTGGGCTACTGGTGATTTTGAACGCACAGCAGCCTCTCGATTATCTGCGCTAATGACGGTGATAATTCAAATTCTAGAATGATCCAAAAATGTCACCATTTTCCGCGGATCTCTATGCTAAAAACCACTGATATAGGTATACATTATGTTTCTGTTAAAAAAATACAGTTTGTTAATCAACAAAGAAAACATTTGATCGATGATGTGCGTGCTCAGTGATGATAAGACTTCCCCGGCTCCCGCCCAGCAGAAGACTCGGCCCAGTAAGTGGACAGCAGCAGAGCCTCGTCAATCAACGCCAAACAAACTCCGCCCATTGTTGTAAAGCTCTGGCAACTACTGTACTGTAGGGGCGATCACGTGGATTTCGGATTAATCGAAGCAACATATTTCTTCGGTTTAAGCATGTGACTTGTAATAAACAATTACAAGAATAACAATGTCCAACCGTTCGTAGATTTTTTTTTTCGGCTCAAGGGAAAATTCACGAGGTCGTGAATTCATGTCGAAATCTCAGGTGCGCGGAATCTAGACACGGGGCTCAGGTTTGACCGTCTCAGGATGAGATGAAGCACCTCCTGTGTGATTATTCTCACTCCTATTAACTATACAACTCAATCGGACGGTGATTTTGAGAAAGGTACGATAATTGTTATTTTTATACATATAATGTCATGATACAAGTGACATTTCCTGGTATAGGGACTTATTGATGATGACTTATTGATGATAACTTATTGATGATGACTCGACTATTAATATCGATTAGTATTGACTGGTGAATGATGATGACTTTTTGATGACTTATTAATGACTGATTATTGAGAATTACAATTCAGCACCCACTCTATAGCCCAGACCCACAATTCAGAACCCACTCTGTAGCCCAGACCCACAATTCAGCACCCACTCTATAGCCCAGACCCACAACTCAGCACCCACTCTACAGCCCAGACCCACAATTCAGCACCCACTCTATAGCCCAGACCCACAATTCAGCACCCACTCTATAGCCCAGACCCACAATTCAGCACCCACTCTATAGCCCAGACCCACAATTCAGCACCCACTCTATAGCCCAGACCCACAATTCAGCACCCACTCTATAGCCCACACCCACAATTCAGCACCCACTCTATAGCCCAGACGCACAATTCAGCACCCACTCTATAGCCCAGACCCACAATTCAGCACCCACTATACAGCCCAGACCCACAATTCAGCACCCACTCTATAGCCCACACCCAGAACTCAGCACCCACTCTATAGCCCACACCCAGAACTCAGCACCCACTCTATAGCCCACAACCAGAACTCAGCACCCACTCTATAGCCCACACCCACAATTCAGCACCCACTCTATAGCCCACACCCAGAACTCAGCACCCACTCTATAGCCCACACCCAGAACTCAGCACCCACTCTATAGCCCAGACCCACAATTCAGCACCCACTCTATAGCCCAGACCCACAATTCAGCACCCACTCTAGAGCCCAGACCCACAACTCAGCACCCACTCTAGAGCCCAGACCCACAATTCAGCACCCACTCTATAGCCCAGACCCACAATTCAGCACCCACTCTATAGCCCAAACCCATAACTCAGCACCCACTCTAGAGCCCAGACCCACAATTCAGCACCCACTCTATAGCCCAGACCCACAATTCAGCACCCACTCTAGAGCCCAGACCCACAACTCAGCACCCACTCTAGAGCCCAGACCCACAATTCAGCACCCACTCTATAGCCCAGACCCACAATTCAGCACCCACTCTATAGCCCAAACCCAGAACTCAGCACCCACTCTAGAGCCCAGACCCACAATTCAGCACCCACTCTAGAGCCCAAACCCAGAACTCAGCACCCACTCTAGAGCCCAGACCCACAATTCAGCACCCACTCTATAGCCCAAACCCAGAACTCAGCACCCACTCTAGAGCCCAGACCCAGAACTCAGCACCCACTCTATAGCCCAGACCCAGACATCATTAACCACTCTTGCGGTACACAGATAGGGGATAGGGCTGGTGGGGGTACACAGATAGGGGATAGGGCTGGTGGGGGTACACAGATAGGGGGTAGGGCTGGTGGGGGTACACAGATAGGGGGTAGGGCTGGTGGGGGTACACAGATAGGGGGTAGGGCTGGTGGGGGTACACAGATAGGGGGTAGGGCTGGTGGGGGTACACAGATAGGGGATAGGGCTGGTGGGGGTACACAGATAGGGGGTAGGGCTGGTGGGGGTACGGTATACGCAAGCAAGGGGTTTCCCTAAGAGTAAACAGAAGCTGAGAGGGGTAAATCGACGCGGACTCTTGCAGAACGACGCCGGGTAGCGAGCGGCGGTAATTCAACACGATCCCTCGTTCAGCAGGTGTCGCGATTCGATTCCGATTCTGGTCACGATTTCTGCTTCCTCATCGGTTCCCGGGGTTTGTGGAATCGATGGGTCCTGCTTGGTTTCAATGAGGGACGTTACGATTCCTCGATTAACACTAATCGAATGGTAGTTGCGATAATCGATTACACGGATGAGTCCAGCAACAATTCACTTTGATTAATGAATTTATCTTGCCAAGAAGAGGTCGCAAGAGTTTTTGTCGTCGCATCTCCGCCTCTAATCTTAAGGGACGAGACGGGTGGACTTCTCCACAAATTTGGACGTCTGCCTGATGAAGCTGGTTGCAATTACTGACGAAACGTCGTAGCTCAGACTTGTAAATGTCGATCTGAAGCTTTCGTGACTGCAGGGATTCATCTTCTTGGTTCTTTCGGTAAAGCCACGTAGAAGGGAAATAATAAAATAATAAACACATTCCTGCGGAGGGAGCTGGTAGGAACGTTGGGTTGCACGGTCAATGGCCAGGGTCAACGGCGGCGTGGTGTATTCCGCAAATATGGCCGACTGCGAGGGCGGGCACAAGACGGCGTGAGTAGGTTAAACGTCGAGTTTTATAAGGGCACCACGGGGGGACCAGCCCCTCCCCACCCAGCCCCACCCCTCCCACTCCCCACCCAGCCCCTCCCCACCCAGCCCCTCCCCACCCAGCCCCTCCCCTCCCACCCAGCACCACCCTCCCCTCCCACCCTCCCCACCCAGCCACTCGCACCCCCCCCCAGCCCCACCCCTCCCACCCAGCCCCTCCCTCCCCACCCAGCCCCTCCCTCCCCACCCAGCCCCACCCCCCCCACCCAGCCCCTCTCTCCCCACCCAGCCCCACCCCTCCCACCGAGCCCCTCCCTCCCCACCCAGCCCCTCTCACCCTCCCCACCCAGCCCCTCTCACCCTCCCCACCCAGCCCCTCCCACCCTCCCCACCCAGCCCCACCCCCCCACCCAGCCCCTCCCTCCCCACCCAGCCCCTCCCACCCTCCCCACCCAGCCCCACCCCCCACCCAGCCCCTCCCCACCCAGCCCCTCTCACCCTCCCCACCCAGCCCCTCCCACCCTCCCCACCCAGCCCCACCCCCCCACCCAGCCCCTCCCCACCCAGCCCCTCTCACCCTCCCCACCCAGCCCCTCCCACCCTCCCCACCCAGCCCCACCCCCCCACCCAGCCCCTCCCTCCCCACCCAGCCCCTCCCTCCCCACCCAGCCCCTCCCTCCCCACCCAGCCCCCTCCCACCCACCCCACCCACCAGCCCCTCCCTCCCTGCACGACGGACACAATAATCCCCTGTGGGCTGGTGTCACCAGGAGGTTCCTACCAGTATAACCCTCTTATGAATGATCGTGTGTTTAGTTTGAGTAGCCGCAATGGGTTTCGTTAAAATCGATTCTTGGAATTGAATTAAATCGATTTTGGAATCGTATTGGAAGGATTCGATAGGCTGCGTTCGATTCCCAACCACTATCGATTCTGCATTCACCGCATTAGTCTAATGAGGAATCGATCCAAAATTAACTTTTCTATGAATTGGAATCGCCATCAAGGCGTCGCAACATCAGCCGGAGGAGCGTGCTGAGTGAACGCGGGGCGCGTCACCCTCCTCGCCTCGTCACCCTCCTCGCCTCGTCACCCTCGTCACCCTCCTCGCCTCGTCACCCACCTCGCCTCGTCCACCCTCCTCGCCTCGTCACCCTCGTCACCCTCCTCGCCTCGTCACCCACCTCGCCTCGTCACCCTCCTCGCCTCGTCACCCTCCTCGCCTCGTCACCCTCCTCGCCTCGTCACCCTCCTCGCCTCGTCACCCTCCTCGCCTCGTCACCCTCCTCGCCTCGTCACCCTCCTCGCCTCGTCACCCTCCTCGCCTCGTCACCCTCCTCGCCTCGTCCTTCCAGCCCCCTCACTCCCCATCACACTCGCCTCCTCACTCTCGCACGCACCTCACACTCGTAGCCACATCTCTCCTCGTCGTCCCCCCCTCCTCCTCCTCCCCTCGTTCTCTGCACTCGTCTCCTCACTCCTCCTCCTCGCCCCCCCCCCGTCTCCCCCCCCCCTCGCTCGCCCCCTCGCCCCCCCTCACCTCCCCCCCTCACCTCGCCCCCCCCCCTCACCTCGCCCCCCCCTCACCTCCCCCCCCTCGCCCCCCCCCCTCACCTCGCCCCCCCCCCTCACCTCGCCCCCCCCTCACCTCGCCCCCCCCCTCACCTCCCCCCCTCGCCCCCCCCCCTCACCTCGCCCCCCCCCTCACCTCGCCCCCCCCCTCACCTCCCCCCCCTCACTTCCCCCTCACCCCCCCCCTCACCTCCCCCCCGCCCCCCCCTCACCTCACCCCCCCCCTCACCTCCCCCCTCACCCCCCCTCGCCCCCCCCTCGCCCCCCCCCTCACCCCCCCCTCACCCCCCCCTCACCCCCCCCCCCCTCGCCCCCATCTGCTGCCTCTGGCTCCCCGCACGCCCCGGCTCCCACGCGAGCAGGAGGCGATGTTGGGAGTCGCCATCCTCACCGCGCTGCTCGCCAGCATCGCCACCGTCGCCATCCAGCTCCTCCTGCTGCTGCGCTTCCTCTCATCATCATCATCATCATCCACCTCATCATCATCCACCTCATCATCATCATCATCCACCTACCCACCACGTGGTGCCGTCACCACTAGTCACCCACGATTGCTTTCCTTACTCCGCGGCGCGAGCTCTTCCGTATCCACCACCACCTCCACCCCTCTCTCATCAACCTCCTCCACCACCACCACCTCATCCTCCACTTCCACATCATCATCAGCATCATCATCAGCAGCAGCATCATCAGCACCACCCCCATCCCCGTACGAGGCGTGCCGCTGCTTGAACGCGCTGCTGCTCAGCGTCTTCTCCGAGCTGCGCGGATCTTCCGATCTGCGCGCGTGGGTCACGCGCAAGATCCACGTGGAGATGCTCGAGCTGCTGCAGTCGCGCACCGCGGGACGCGTCGTGGAAGGACTCAGTCTCAGGGACGTCTCTCTCGGAGACGCGCTGCCCGTGTTCCACGGCGTGCGCACAGTGCTGCCCTCCTCGTCCTCCAGAGGGAACGCAGCTGGGCAGCAGGTGAGGGGTGATGTTGGTGGTGATGTTGATGTTGTTGGTGATGTTGTTGGTGTTGTTGTTGCGCGCTGCCCGTGTTCCACGGCGTGCGCACCTTGCTGCCCTCGTGCAGGGGGAACGCAGCTGGGCAGCAGGTGAGGGGTGGTGATGTTGTTGGTGGTGTTGTTGTTGATGATGTTGATGATGATGTCGATGTTGGTGTTGATGATGATGTTGTTGTTGCGCGCTGCCCGTGTTCCACGGCGTGCGCACCGTCCTGCCCTCGTCCAGAGGGAACGCAGCTGGGCAGCAGGTGAGGGGTGATGTTGGTGGTGGTGGTGTTGTTTTTGGTGATGTTGTTGATGATGATGTTGTTGTTGGTGGTGGTGTTGTTGTTGATGTTGTTGCGCGCTGCCCGTGTTCCACGGCGTGCGCACCTTGCTGCCCTCCTCCTCGTCCTCCTCCTCCAGGGGGAACGCAGCTGGGCAGCAGGTGAGGGGTGGTGGTGTTGGTGGTGTTGTTGTTGATGTTGTTGGTGCGCGCTGCCCGTGTTCCACGGCGTGCGTACCGTGCTGCCCTCCTCGTCGTCGTCGTCCAGAGGGAACGCAGCTGGGCAGCAGGTGAGGGGTGATGTTGGTGCTGTTGTTGATGTTGATGATGTTGTTGTTGGTGATGTTGTTGATGTTGTTGCGCGCTGCCCGTGTTCCACGGCGTGCGCACCTTGCTACCCTCGTGCAGGGGGAACGCAGCTGGGCAGCAGGTGAGGGGTGGTGATGTTGTTGGTGGTGTTGTTGTTGATGATGTTGATGATGATGTCGATGTTGGTGTTGTTGATGATGTTGTTGTTGCGCGCTGCCCGTGTTCCACGGCGTGCGTACCGTGCTGCCCTCCTCGTCGTCCTCCAGAGGGAACGCAGCTGGGCAGCAGGTGAGGGGTGGTGCTGTTGATGTTGATGATGTTGATGATGTTGTTGTTGTTGGTGGTGGTGATGTTGTTGGTGTTGTTGCGTGCTGCCCGTCTTCCACGGCGTGCGCACTGTGCTGCCCTCCTCGTCCTCCAGGGGAACGCAGCTGGGCAGCAGGTGAGGGGTGGTGATGTTGTTGGTGGTGTTGTTGTTGTTGATGATGTTGATGATGATGTCGATGTTGGTGTTGATGATGATGTTGTTGCGCGCTGCCCGTGTTCCACGGCGTGCGCACCTTGCTGCCCTCCTCGTCCAGAGGGAACGCAGCTGGGCAGCAGGTGAGGGGTGATGTTGGTGCTGTTGGTGCTGTTGATGATGTTGTTGTTGATGATGTTGTTGTTGCGTGCTGCCCGTCTTCCACGGCGTGCGTACCATGCTGCCCTCCTCGTCCTCCAGGGGGAACGCAGCTGGGCAGCAGGTGAAGGGTGATGTTGTTGTTGGTGTTGCTGCTGTTGATGCTGCTGCTGCTACTGTTGCTATTGTTGGTGCTGTTGTTGTTGCTGCTGTAGCTGCTGTTGTTGCTGTTGATGTTGATGCTGTTGCTGTTGTTGCTGCTGCCCACCGCACAACTGCCCCGCGCAGCCACCGCCTGTCGCTCGCCACCTACCCCGTACCACCTTCCCCTCGCCGTCACCTGCCCCACACCATGATGAGTTTGGACTTTTTTCTTCTTCCAGGGCAAGTGGGTGCAGGATGAAGCTTCTTGTCTGTTAAGTTCGGTACCGACTCCACGCTGAGCCTGGCTGGTCTGCGAATACCCGCCGATGTCTTAAAAAGAGAACCGGTGTATAAAGCAAAACGAACAGCGCTTGATGGAGCTGCCCTTTCGTTTGTCCGTCCGTTGCGGGGGTTGTGTGTGTGTGTGGGGGGGTACGAACCAAGGCGGGCGACGAGACCGCAGCTGAACTACCGGACGAGCTCGAACTGGAGGCGGACGTGGAGTACACGGGCGGCTGCTACGTCTGCGTCCACGCCGAACTAGTGTTCGGCAAACGCGCCGAGCTGTTCGTTCGCATCGCGCGCGTGCGCGGACCCCTGCGGGTGCGGGTGACACGCGCGCCGCCCCTCGCCCATTGGAGCTTCGCGTTCACGCGTGACCCGCGGGCCGAGCTCGAGGTGCGATCCCGCTACGAGGGCCGCCCCATGCCGCAGCTCACCACCGTCATCGTTAACCAGATCAAGAAGGTGCTGCGGCGCAAGCACACGCTGCCCAGCTACAAGATCAGGTGCGTGCAGCGCCTACCTAGGAGGGAGGAGGAGGGCAGGAAAGCAAGTGGGTTCAACTTCTTGGTTCTTTCGGTAAAGTCACGTAGAAGGGAAACAATAAAATAATAAATATTCCTGCGGAGGGAGCTGGTAGGAACGTTGGGTTGCTCGGTCAATGGCCAGGGTCAACGGCGGCGTGGTGTATTCCGCAAATATGCCCGACTGTGAGGGCGGGCACAAGCCAGCGTGAGTAGGTTAAACGTTGAGTTTTATAAGGGCACCACGGGGTGACCAGCCCCTCCTCACCCAACCCCACCCTCCCCACCCAGCCCGGGTGAAGAACAGGTCTGTCGGAAAGTCGTGAGAATTTTATTTGATTATGTTTTATTTTTAAATCCTTTATATTAAGTTCGCTTGCGTGCTTGCTTGCTTACGACCGTGCAAACCTTTCGGTCGTTTTTTAACCCACTTCCCGTGATCCAATCGAGCTGACATTTTGCACACAGACTCGTGCGAGACAATTAATGTTCGTGAAAATGTTTTTCCAAAATTTTACACTGTTTAGGGAAAACAAATTAAATATTTAATTACCAATTGTTTAATACTGCAGACAATCATCTGACCCATAGGTGGCAGCCATCTCAAGCCAGAGAACGAGAGGACTCTAGCCGCCACGCATTTAAAGGATTTAGAGTGAAAAACTTTGTTTTTACGGGTTATACTTATTATTATTTCCCTTCTACGTGACTTTACCGAAAGAACCAAGAAGATGAATCCCTGCAGTCACGAAAACTTTAAATCGAAAAAAAAAAGCAAGTGGGTTGTTTATGTACGGAGGAGGAGTTCGGTTAGCAACCCACGTGTTTTTACCGCCGTCTGTTAGGCTACTTCTCGCCCCAGCGGGTAAGGAGTTTCGCACGCAGTGATCTCTGCGTGATTCCCCAACCCCCACCTCCATGAAGGTTGGATCGTGGGTGTGCGTCACCACGCCCACGAGTAAGCTGGGACAATCTGCGTACGGCTTTACACCGTGTGCCGGGATTTGTCATCGGCTGTTGGCCAACTCTGCGGTGGATGCGTCCCGTAAATAATCCAAAGGCGGAAAACAGCGCGTGTGCGATAGCGTCTTGTGTGATATTAATTACTCCGATTCCAAGTGCGCTTACTACGTGCACTGCTAGTCATGCATGGTAATAACGGTATAGCCCACTACTGGATGAATGCTGATAATTGTTTTTTTTACCCTATCTGGCAACAAAACTGACACCTTTTTTTTACAAGGAGTCATGTTTGCATTGACCACAATACCTGCAGTCGGAATGCAAACAAAAAACACAACTCTGGTAATGTATGCACTGTCCTTGAAATTGATTGGTCCACACCCGAGACCGCTTTCCTTAGAGCCTAGTCTCACATTGTGTTGGACCAGATGACGCCAAAAGGCGCACAACTCAAAGACAATGCACCATCATAGTATGAGAGCTCGGGGTGAGCATTTACACCATTGGAACCTCCTTTGCCAGTAGCAAAATAGGATAAAAACATTTTTTACCCTTTTATCTGGCAACAAAACTGACCATACTTCACCACGTTGGTGCTGGTAAATGTTGATGGGGGCGAGGTGCCGAGGACTGGTTTCAGATCTATCTTGCTCGCCGATGATGATGTGAGCACCGTCCAGGAATCAATCTCGGATCGACAACATTCGTACCGATGTGCATGTGAAACTAGTATACGCTTGACAATTTTTTCTTTCGCGTTTTCTGCGTAGGTACAAGCCGTTCTTCCCATCGCATGTTCAGGGCGACGGCGTCGGTGCGAGTCTTCCGATGGCCGAGCTCAAACGAGGGACTCTGAAAGTTCAGCTCGTAGGATGCAGCAGGTAACCTCTCGGGGGGTGTAAAAAAAAAAAAATCGTCAACCCGCTTCGTTTATTTAACGCGCTTCAACGTCATAGGAAGTTCAAGTTAATGTATTAGGTATAGCCCTGTGAGCCATTCGGCTCTTGAATCGGGTGCAACCGCAACAAACAAACAAAACAAAAACATGAACAAAAAAACATCTTAAAGTGAAGGAAGTGGCATGGCTGCCGACAAGAAACAATCGGTTATGCAGGAGGTCGTGGGTTCGATCCCACCCTGACGCCTATTGTATATCTGGAGGGTATGCGTGTTCTCCCTGTGGTCAAGTGGATTTTTCTCCGGGTCCTCCGTTTTTTTTCACACAACATTTTAGAATCAACATCGCACGTTTAGACTATTTGGCTGCTATAAATTTCCACACAATGATAAGCTCACTTCGTTGGGCTATCATTTGTGATAACCAGGTCGTTTCTGAAAAATAGCCGCATAGCTAAGTGGGCCTTACCTGGTAAATAAAAAATGATTCTAGATTTGAAGCTTTCGTGACTGCAAGAATTCATACTCTTAGGTTTTTTCGGGAAAGTCACGTAGGTAAAAAATATCACGACGTTTCGGAGGCAACACAAGCTTCCGTCTTCAGGTGGAGGAATTTCACCGAAAAACCTAAGAGTATGAATTCTTGCAGTCACGAAAGCTTCAAATCTAGAATTAATACCCTCTACGGGGAGAAATTTCACCTCCACCTGCAGACGGAAGCTTGTGTTGCCTCCGAAACGTCGTGATATTTTTTTACCGACGTGACTTTACCGAAAAAACCTAAATAAAAAATAGTTGAGTGTGGTTGATCACCCCCTTACTCTTGGGTTCTTTCGGTAAAGTCACGTAGGTGAAAATAAAAAATAAAGATTAAAATAACTAGATTAAATCACGACGTTTCGGAGGCAACACAAGCAAGCTTTCATCATTACGTGGGACAACCACAGCAAAAAATAGAATTACTGTATTTATAAATAAATAAATATTTTTTTTTTTACCTACGTGACTTTACCAAAAGAACCTAAGAGTATGAATCCTTGCAGTCACGAAAGCTTCAAATCTAGAAATAATTTCTGTAATTCAGTTTTTTGCTGTGGTTGTCCCACCTGATGACGGAAGCTTGTGTTGCCTCCGAAACGTCGTGATTTTATTTAGTTATTTTTATTCTTTATTTGTATTCTTTATTTTAACCTACGTGACTTTACCGAAAGAACCAAAGACTTATGGATCCTTGCGGTCACGAAAACTTCAAATCTAGAATTGATCGCCCCCTTTTCTCCCTTTGCTCCAGACTCCTCCTGCCGACTGCGCCAGACAAAGAGACCGACGTTTACTGCAGCCTGGAGCTGGCGACCACCAAGTGTACAGGAGGTGTGAGGTTCCTCTTCATTGAGGTGTGTATTCCCCTTCGTTACCCTGCTGCTGCTGCTCTATATAAGAACGGGAGACACAGCAGAGCCTCACCATTCTGGCGAATTGCCCGATGATGCTGGATGCAATTACCAGCGAAACGTCGTACTCAAATTGTAAATGTTGTGGTTTCACGCTTCAACACACCGGTGGGCTAAAGCAGTGAACTATTTGTCTTTTGTCAACGTGACACTTTTTTGCTGATTGGCCGTGTCGGGTGGTGGAGGGTTACGACACATTTATAAATAACGCGATCTAAACCCAAACACGTTGATTATGATTAATATTGGTCGCGAAAGCCTACGTGTTAAACTCCCCTTCGTTTATCTATATCCTTCCATATATATATGGATATCTATCTATAGATCTAAAATTCCACTTCCCATCGAATCACAAGGCCTTCTGGGCGTGCATAAGGTTCAGTAGCATTGGTTCGACACACAAAAGTCTGGACCGGTTTTGATCTTTATTGTCTAATTGGCAGAGCCACACTTGCTTGAACCATTCCTGGTGAACTGGCAAATTTCAACGGCAAAGGCCCGCTCTCTAACATGTGTGGGTCTCTCTCTGAAGTATGTGTACATCTTGTAAATTTATTCATCTGTACAGCCTTTTGGATGAGGGCCTCCCCTTGCCATGCAGGTCATGGGGGTTATTTGACCATATTTCACCACGCCGGTTGGCATCATCTATTTTCTGTCTTTTTATTTTTATCTAGTTGAAAATACGTAGTTAATACAACGCTCACCATCAATGCCATAGGTCTCTGGTTCCTTGCAGGCAACTTGAGCCCTGAGTCAACTCCGTACGGGAATTACTCAAAAGTCGGTGCTGCGACTGTTAAGGTTGCCGGCAATAATGGAGCGCGTGTACAAGCACGTGTCTTTGGCTTTTTTTCCCTCTCCTTTTTTCTCACGTTCACGCAGATACAAATATCGAAAGGGACCTCGCCGCTCATAGGGCTCACGTTCCGCCAGATCTCCGTGCCGGACGGAGATCCGGACATTGTGGTGGTCTCCACGGTGGTTCCCAACACGCCGGCGGCGAGCGCCGACGTTCGCAAGGACGATCGCGTCGTATCCATCGCAGGTCCGGTGTTTTGTCGCTCTGTCGCGTACCCCCCTTCAATTAATTCGCGACCAGCCGCTCCCCCATTGTTGACGTCATCTCTCCGACGGCGTCATTGTCGTGAACGTGGCCACCGCGGCCTCAGCGCTACGGCCGCTCTGTCATCGTCGCTCTGTCATTTACAATCTGAGTATGACGTTTCGCAAGTAATTGCAACTAGCATCATCAGGTTGACAGCCAGATTTGTGGAGGAACGTTGTGGCTTTGCTCTCCAACACACCGGTGTTGCTGTACTAGTAACAAATTGGCATGTTCTGTTTACGTGACTAACCTTCTTCTTGGTTCTTTCGGTAAAGTCACGTAGAATGGAAATAATAAAATGATAAAAAATAAAATAATAAAAATGCTTTATTTTTATCATTTTATTATTTCCATTCTACGTGACTTTACCGAAAGAACCAAGAAGATGAATCCCTGCAGTCACGAAAGCTTTAAATCGTGACAAACCTTACTAATCGGCTGTGTCGGGTGGTGGCGGGTTTAATAACACTTTTATATATTTACGCGGTCTCACCCCAAAAACACCTGTGTTATGGACGTGGCAGTGTTTCCGGGTGGCGAGATGTTAACTCCCTCGCCTGGTATGTCGAAGGCCGTGGGTTTGTTCCCAACCGTGACAGCTGTATACGTGGAGTTTGCAGTGTCTCCAATCCCTGTGGTCGTGTGGAATTTTCTCCGAGCCCCCCGGTTTTTCTCTCCATGTAGAATCAACGTCACCACGCGTGTAGAGCAATTGACTGCGATAAATGTCGACGATATGCTACTTCGTCAAGCTCTCATTTGTGATGCCCAGGTGGTTTCTGATAAAAGAGCTGCGCATAGCTAAGTGGGCCTTACCTGGTAAAATAAAACGGAGTTGAATGTTTTAGTTTTTTTAGTTAACAATTAATAAATATTAATAACTTCATCATTAGACCTCCTTTGCCAGTACCAAAATATAATAATAGGGTTTTTCCCCTTTTTTCTGGCAACAAAACTGAAACCTTTTTACAAGGATTCGTGTCTGCATTAACAACAATACTTGCAGTCAAATGCAAACAAAAAACACACTATGATAACACTGGTCAACACACTTTTTCTGGCATAAGATATTCCAACGGTTTTAAAGCAATTTTGGGGTGCTGATTCCAAATCTGGCATCAGTTTTTGTCTGTCACATCAGGTTTTTGAGATATCAAATACTGCATTTTCAATAAAAACTGCAGAAGAAAAATATTAAATAAATGTGGATATCTACATAAAATGATATTATTAACACACTATCCTAAAAATACAGCACCATATTTTAACACTAAAGCAGTCACTGACTCGCAACAACTTGCAATCATAAGTGGCAGAGTTAATTTCGGGTAAAATCAATGAAAATGGGGTATGCCAATATCATAAAATGAGATGTGATAGAGCAAATCTGAGATCAGATTTGGAATCAGCACCCTGAAATTAGTCTAGAACAGCTGCAAAAGTCCAGACCAGAAAAAAGTAGTTTTTTTGTTGACCAGTGTAATATATTGGCATTGTCCTTGAAGCTGATTGGTCCACACCAAGGGATGGCTTTCTTTTGAGCCTCGACCCAATTGGGTTTTCTTGCTGTGGATTTCACACCTGATGACGATTGCTTGCGTTGCAGTCGAAACGCGAGAATTTAATTGTTTTATATATTTTTTATTTTATTATTTCCCTTCTACGTGACTTTACCGAAAGAACCAAGAATATTGCGGTTAATGCAGACATGAATACTCGTAAAAAAGTTTCGGTTTTGTTGCCAGAAAAAAGGGGAAAACCCCTATTATTATATTTTATTATTCATAATAACTTTCCACGCTGCCAAAACGTTGCTCCCGCAAAACACGGACACCTTGCTGCCCGGCGTGCTTCTGCAGGTCACAACGTCTACTCCCTGGTGCATGCCGGAAAGCTGCTCGCTTCGGCCGACCCTGTCCGGATCGTGTTGCAACGGGAAGAACTGCCCACCGGCGCCGTCTACTCGAGCCACCCGCCAGCGGGAGCCACGGTATCGGCGCCGCCGGTGGCGTCGGCATCCGTGACAAAAAACCTCCCGGTCGACGACCCAGCCAACCCCGATTCGGACTTCGAGGACCTCTGCTTGGCGGCGATGAACGAAGCGCAGGCGGCAGACGAGGCTCCGCGTGTGGCTGCGGGCAGCTTCAAACAGTCGCCGGCTCCTCCGGCTCCTGCTGGTGCCGCCGCCGTTGCCGCCGCAAAGAACGCCTCCCCGGGAGGTTCTCCGTCGCATTCTGCTAAACCGAGGGAAGGAGCGGCGGCCTACTGCTCGAAGGCCGCCAAAGCGAGCGACGGCTGCGCTGCCGAGTGCCCGAGGGTTCCCGCGGACGCAAACGCGTCCGAGTCTCAAGACGCCAGCGGCACGAGTGGCCCCGTCAAACCGCCCGTGCCGCCGAGGCCCAAGGACAAGCCGGAATCCGCCCCCGACGCCGACGCCGGCGCCGGCGGTCCCTCGACGGCGAGGCCGGCGAAAGGCTTAGCGGAGCAGGCGGCGAAAGCGGCGGCAGCCAAGGCCGACGCCGCCAGCGCAGAGGAAGCGCAGTCGGCCAGGGCGACCGCCAGGGCGGACGAGTGGACGTCGACCAAGGCGGCTTACGGCAACAACGCCTGCGCCTGGACCGACGAAGCCGCCGACTGCGCCGAGTTGCAGGTGGAGGGCCACCACAAGTATCTGAATGTGCTGGTGTGGTGCCAGGAGCGCGTGGCCCCGGGGGCCCGGCCAGCCTGCGCCACCGCCACGTGCGCGGGCCACGCGAGCGTCGCCGTGGACGAGATCGTGTCCGAGTGCCTCGACACGGGCTCACTGCAGTTCTATCGCACCTACCTGCTGCGTCCGCCGGACCCCAAGCCGGCCGCCCTGCTCTGTCGGCCGCAGTTCAAGCAGCTGGCGTCGCACAAGGGGTTCAACGAGGAGCTGTGCTTCGGCGAGGTCACTCTGCACTTTTCGCACACCTACACCGATGACTTCAAAGGGGCGTCGGCGGGGCCAAAGGCGGTGTCGAAGACGCACAGGACGGGATCGCCGGACAACGACGCCTCGGATTCGGAGAGGGACGACGGCGCCTTGCGAACGAGTGAGGCGTCGAAGCACGACTTCAAGGACGCGCTCTTTCAAAATCCGACCAACTGCGACTACTGCAAGAACCAAATCTGGACCAATTCGGCATCCAGGTGCAGCCGCTGCGCCTACGTCTGCCACAAGAAATGCCGCGAGAAGTACCAGACGGAGAAGCCGCGGTGCTTGCGCGACGGCGCGGGCCCGAGGACCCGGCAGACGGACCGGCAGCGGCCCCAGAGCATGCACAAGGCGGCAGCGCTCGCTCGCAACCTCATCCCCTACGCTCGCAAACGCCTGCAGCTGCGCCCGGGAGCCAAGCGGACCGGTGATGACGGGCCGCCCGAGACGGCTCACGGCGTCGTCTGCGAAACCGACGGCGCCGGCGGCGCGGACGAGGGTTGCGACGCGGCGGACAGGACGTGCCGGGGGTCGGCGGGCGCCAACCGCGGCGGCCTGCACGACAGCGTCTTCGTGGCGGTGAAGGAAATCGGGCGGGCGCTCTACCGGGACCTCCCGAGCGCCGAGCGGCAGCAAAAGCTGGAGCTGATGCTGGAGAAGCTGCAGTGCGAGATCGAGGCCGAGCTGGAGAGGAACAGCGCGCTCAAGCAAGACCTGGCGGCGGCGGCCTCGGCCGAGCCGGCTCGCGCCACGGCTGAGCTGATCGCCGTAGAGGTGAGGAAGTCCAACGAGCGGCTGCAGGCGCTCACCCTGCTCATGCTGCACTACCGCGCGGGCCTCGAAGACCTGGAGCTGGCGCAGGTTGACCCCCCGGAGGCGGCGCCGGAGCTCGCGGCTCACTCGGAGGAGCGGGAAGAGCGGCGTGGGGGAAACCCGCGGCTCTCGGACGGCAAGGCGGAAGAAGGCGGCGGGCGGGAGTCGGCCCGTTGCGGTGATCTCGGCGGCAAGGCCCGTTGCGCAGAAGCCAGCGACGCGCGTCTGCAGGGCCCGCGTGCGGACGTCGCTGCTGAGGCGACCGAGCAAGAAGGTGGTGGTGGTGGTGGTGACGACGATCAGATTTCGTTGGAGCGCGTTGATGTCGAAGAACGTGCGGATGTTGAAACATCCGCCGCGGATCAAAGACTTGAAGGAACGGAAGAAGAGGCATCCGAGTTGGAGGTCGGCGATGATACCGACTGCGAGAAAACTTGAAAGTCAACGCGGGAGACGAATCTATCGTAAGCTTATCCGGTTCACTTGTAAAACGAGGGTTTAAATAATTTCAGATTCTTACTGTGTACAGGGACTCCTCTACTTAGAAACTTTCAGAGATACGAATAAACCAGTGGCCTGTGCGGACCGAGAACCATAAGTTCAACCGCCGCGCAATAGATGGCGGTGGTGGCATCTCCATCTGCAGAACGTGAAGAACCAGTGGCATCTACAAAAGATGATACAACTTTTAAAGCCATTTCCCGTGTTTGTATAGTACACGCCGTACGTGTTTGGAATGGACAGGAGTAAAGTTGGACTTGCGAACAAATTGACTTACGAACAGTCTTCTGGAACCTAACTCGTTTGTAAGTAGAAGAGTCGCTATATTTGGAATGGAAATAACAAGGTTTATTGTGGTTGACTGCTTACAAATGTAATTGGGAATTTTTATTTTAATATCGCACAAAGTTAAAACGCTGAACGGCAGAGGTCGCAAACGGGTTTTAATTCCTTACCTGTACCCGTACCCGGCCGCACCAGGGTCGCAAACGGGTACCCATACCCGCCCTGGTAGGGTACGGGTACCCGTACCCGATACCCGGCTGGGTATGGGTAGCCGGGTATCGGGTAGGGTACGGGTATCGGGTACCCGATTGCGACCTCTGGCATGAAGCCATGTTGCAGGCGCGGGTGGGTTGATTCTAGGAACTTGAATTGTGAGAAGAGACAAGACGTTGGGAAATGAGTGACAAACGGTGACTCACCAGTGACTCACGGCCTACACGTACCCGTACCCGGCCGCACCAGGGTCGCAAACGGGTACCCGTATCCGTACCCGGCTGGGTACGGGTAGCCGGGTATCGGGTAGGGTACGGGTATCGGGTACCCGGTTGCGACCTCTGCTGAACGGCGAGCAAAAGCCTTGTGGAATTTGCATGCTAGCTGCTTCTCAAGCCAGCGCAGAAACTTCAAGCACCAGTGCGCACTCCCAGTCTAGTACCATACCATAGCATTGGCTTGCAGATTCCAGAAGTGTTTTGTTTAAATGTTTATGTTTTTTGTATAATTATTATAATATTAGAAAGCTATATATAACATTTCCAAGCCGTAAGCGCACTACGTTCGGCGTGACTATAATTAACTTAGTTTTGTTGAGGAAACGGAAAAAGAGCTGTATAGTGGTGGGTGGGCCTTACCTGGTAAAATAAAAATTAACCCGTAAAAACAAAGTTTTTCACTATAAATCTTTTATATGCGTGGCGGCTAGAGTCCTCTCGTCCTCTGGCTTGAGATGGCTGCCACCTATGGGTCAGATGATTGTCTGCCACCATTAAGCAATTGGTAATTAAATATTTACATTTTTTTCCCTAAACAGTGTAAAATTTCACAATTAATTGTCACGCACAACGAGTCTGTGTGCAAAATGTCAACTCGATTGGATCACGGGAAGTGGGTTAAAAAACGACCGAAAGATTTGCACGGTCGTAAGCAAGCAATCACGCAAGCACGCAAACAAACAAGCAAGTGAACTTAATATAAAGGATTTAAAAATAGTTAATATATATAGAGTTGGGGGGGGGGGGTAGCCCACCCCGGAATGTTGTGGACAACACTGTATGATCGTTCAATAGTCCCAAACCCAGCTTTACTTCTACACACGTGGGAACTCTCTTCACTTTGCATCATTCCAAGGACACTTTGCACTTTAGTCCGAAATTACAGATAATTAATTTCTTCAGAACTGCTTTTTGCGTTTAGTGCTGTTATCCCCCCTCCCCTCAACGTACATTCATACAAACCACACGGGCTGCAGGAAAATGAAGGTAAATTCACTAGAAATGAATGGTTCAAGATGAACTGACTTTTTAAATGTGTCAAATCAATGCGGCGACGGATACGGGAGATGGCATCTCGCCACCGCAAGCTGCAGAAGAGATCATTCACAGTTCACCCGCATCTCTCTCGAGTGGCCGAGTAAACCTTCATGCAGTGTGGGTGGCACTTTCCCAGACATTCCACTGTGTGGCGATCAAACCCGATGCATATGATTTATCTTCTCAAAGCTGGTATTCGGTACAGATTCAATACAAAACAGAATGTAGAAAGTGGACAATACGCCACAGTCAGATCGGCAGGTCGGTTACGGTGCGAGGGTACTCTTCCACCTCTTCCCAAGATGTCCAGCCAGCGTGGAAGAGTAGGCCAAATACCCTCCTAGAGTGCTTCTCCTTAGAGAGGTGCCTCTCGCAGATGCCCCTTCCGCCGGCAGTGGTGTGATCGTGCAATTGGCACGCGACAATGTGTGCTTTTGTCAGAAGACGACGCCGCAGGGATTTTATGAGTCTGCTTGGGAGCGGACGATTGGCTGTGGTTGGTGGAGAGTGTGGGGAAATCCTATTGGTGGCCTCGGTGGGAGTTAAAACACATTCCTGCGGAGGGAGCTGGTAGGAACGTTGGGTTGCTCGGTCAATGGCCAGGGTCAACGGTGGCGTGGTGTATTCCGCAAATATGGCCAACTGTGAGGGCGGGCACAAGCCGGCGTGAGTAGGTTAAACATTGAGTTTTATAAGGGCACCACGGGGTGACCAGCTCCGCCCCTTTCAGCCCCGCCCCTCCCACCCCCCACCCAGCCCCAACCTCCCCACCCAGCCCCTCCCCACCCAGCCCCTCCCCACCCAGCCCCTCCCTGTATGACGGACGGACACAATAATCCCTTGTGGGCTGGTGTACCCAGGATGTTCCTACCAGTACTATCGATCTGTGATGACCAGCAGCTTTTGGCTGGCCATCGCACAGAGACAGTCACTGTCATCGCGCGACGCTTTCGAACGCGCTTCTGCGGCCGTCTGGAACGCTCTTCCCTTGCGATATTAGGAAGCCACTGGAGCTATGCACTTTTTAAATCTCGATTTTTATGTTTGGTTTGTTGTCCTTACCCCGCACCACCGATTTAGCAGGGTTGACTATGTACGGTGCGAGAGAAATACAACGAACATACTTGAGAGGGTCAGGCGCGGGGAGTCTGTCAAACTCGGCTGAATGCATCCGATTGGTGTTGAATCGCTGTTATCAAAGTCCATAAGACGTAATATGATTTAAACTGTGACTAAGCTGGCCACCAACGTATGATTTTAAACTGTGGTATGTTTAAGTGTTGTGTGTTTTTTTTAGTTAAGCTGTTTATATGTTATGCAAGCATAAACTCCACATTTCAAATATATGCCTCTGTATACGCTGCGGTTAAACGTGCCGAAATGTGTTCAAATGTCACGTGGTGAGCGGTATTGTGCGACTCCTCGACTGCAATTGTGAACCCATTCCTAACGGGGTCGGGAAAATCGTGGCTACAAAATTGAGGGGAGGGTGGTGGTGGTCTGGGGAGTCTTGACTGCCCCCAGCAAAATGTATGGCACGTGCATTGGCCATACGTTGCAATGGCAATTCTGGTTGACGGTAGCCGGCTCGTACCCGGGTCGACCACTTGGTCCTTTGCGATAAGAACCACCAGCAGTACTCTCATGGGGGGCTCTTGGTCTATCACTCGGACTACAGACACCGCTATGAATCAGACTGCTGGGACTATCACAGCGAGCCACTCCTGACTACTACCTGGACTACCTCTGGGACCAGTAGAACTACCACCCGAAGCACTGAACCCCCCCAAGCCCACTCGTTATGCCACTGTGGCTACCACCATGACCCACCAGAACCACTACTTAAGACTACAACACAGAGCACTGTCTGGCAGTACTGCCACGTGGACCACCAGTACTACCAGACGGTCGGACGGACACACAGACTGACTGATGCTCTCCCCGTGTGGACGCGTGCGAACGAACCAACGTGGTAATCGCCCGCGGGATAATCGCGGTATCTGCGGGAACCGGGGCGGGATTCCCGCGGCCGTCGCGTCGACCGATGCCGTCGAAGTCATTCGGAAACCCGCGAGCGGTGAACCTCTTCGCTTGAACGTCTCCCCGAGGATGAACGCACTCTGATTCAATTTATTTAATTACGCCCGCCCCTCCCCCCCCACCGGCTCTCTTAAAACGGTGATTGTACGTATGTAGCCATTGTTTTGCCGACTCAATTTTTTTTCTGGATGTGAGCGTTTTTGGTGTCATCCCTTTGTCGTGATCAATGCGACCTGTTGGTGTCATCCCTTTGTCGTGGTCAATGCGACCTGTTGGTGTCATCCCTTTGTCGTGGTCAATACGACCAGTATCAATAAACCACGAGTAATAAATGTCTCGGTTGGGGTTTTTTTTTTCGGTCTTGCAATCCAGTTTCGTGTGACCCGTTAGCTTCGCACGGATTGCGTTAGTTGAAGGGTCACTTAGGAAAGGGTAACTTGGGCCGTTTTGAGGTGTAAGGACTTACACCCTGGACGTCCCCGCTGGACAAATATACGATAATCCTCGATGGAACGTCCGTACCCAAGAGGGAATTTCCTTGAGATTGATGATCGCTTCGTGAGGGACACGTCCTGCGAAAAACCCGGAGACTGCCCCAGAGGAGGCGGCGGTCTCGAGCGACCTGGAAGAGAGCCGGTGGCTGACCGAGCTGCGGCCCATTGGACGCGGCTCGTTGCGGTAACAAGAATAATCATTTATACTGGTAGGAACCTCCTGGTTACACCAGCCCACAGGGGATTATTCTGTCTGTCTGTCGTGCATCCAAAAATGGGAGGGGTGGGGCTGGGTGGAGAGCAGAGGTCATAACCGGGTACCCGATACCCGTACCCTACCCGATACCCGGCTACCCGTATCCGGCCGGGTACGGGTACCCGTTTGCGACCCTGGTGCGGCCGGGTACGGGTAAGGAATCAAAACCCGTTTGCGACCTCTGGTGGAGAGGGGAGAGTGGGGAGGGGCTGGGTGGGAGGGTGGTGCCCTTATAAAACTCAATGTTTAACCTACTCACGCCGGCTTGTGCCCGCCCTCACAGTCGGGCATATTTGCGGAATACACCACGCCGCCGTTGACCCTGCAGGCCATTGACCGAGCAACCCAACGTTTCTACCAGCTCCTTCCGTAGGAATGTGTTTTGTAAGGAGCCTACCACGAGGGCCACGAGAGACGGAGAAGCTAAATACAATAAACCGATCTAAGAAGATGTTTAAGACGAAACTTTAAAAGTATCCACACTGTCGGATGGGCATATTTCCAACGATCGGGAATTCCACAACCGTGGCACGCAGACCCAGCAGCAGCAACGCACGAGAACTGCCGAAGACGAGAGCGGCAGCCTCCCCACCCCGTGATGGAGGAAAGTTCCATTCTGTCCACGTTCGACCCCTTGGATGGAGGAGGAAGCCTGCAAAGGACGACAAACCCAGTGTTCCTGCGTGTCTTGTGGTGGAACGTCCGGTGCAGGGGCTGGCCTGCGACACGTTTACAAGTGTGCCGCTACTGCTGTGTTCTTGTTTTTATTTACACACTTTTATTTATTTTTCTTATTTTGTTTAATTTAACTCAATTCGTCTGTTGTATCCTCAAAAAATAAATCTTGTAACTCAATTTTTACACACTTTCCCAATGTGCTATCGACTGCAAACTTCGTATAGGTATGTCACACTGATGACAACACGATATTCTATCATAAAAAATCCAAAACATGTTTTAAAACTTTACACGCTTTTATTTAACTTACTGTGTGTGTTGTCGTATCCAAAAATCTTGTAACTCAATTTCAACCGTATTCCCAATGTCTTATCGACTGCAAACTTCGTATAGCTATGTCATACTGATGACAATACTATATTCTATCATAACAAATGAAATAAAAATGTGTTTAAACAATCTTTTTTACGGCTCTAATTATCCACTCTCAACTGACGTTGCCTGTAAATCACCACGTGGTCCCTGACGTCACGGCAAGCCTCGGGGAGCCACGCCCAGGGGCGGGAGATGTGGAAGGAGGGGAGGGGCGATGGGGGAAGGGGGCAGGGGGAAGGGCAGCTCGGGCAGTACATTTCATAAAAAGCGTGCTTTAAAAAAAGTATTTTAAATATTTTATTGTTATTGCTGCTGTCGCAATGTTACTACAGCACAATTGTGCTATTCGTAGAATTTATGGGATGAAATTGTATTGATCTGCAACGCACGCGGGGGCATTGTAACACCCCATACGCAACCCCCCGTTGTGTTATAGATTGGGCCATTGAGGCAGATTTAGTTTCTTTCTGAGATTCATTTAAGTGACCTTGTTGATTTATTTCACGCAGCGGCGGCGGGACGTGCTTTCGCCACAATGCCCCCTGCTGAAAGTCGACTCGATGTTTCTATTTTTCACAGAATGCAAATCAACTGAATTGCATCTCACTGGGATATTTGCACAGCGCTAGTGTACGGTGA